TCGATTTTTTTGCGATTACTAGAACTTACTGAAGTTAATTATTTCATGTAGTTTGAAAATTAGGAGTTTTTTTTTAAACGCAACCTAAGGCTTTGGTAAACATGTGACGATTTTTCTGTTATTGTGGTTAATTTTCATTAATTATGTTCATTTAAACTTTGAACCAATTATGTTCATAAACTAATGTACAATTTTCAAATTACTATCGATTTGATAAAATTGAAGACTACAGTCAATTCTAGTTGGATTTCGACTTGATTCTAATAAGAATATAAAACCTATTACAATCCAATAAACAAAAATAGTACTTAGCTCTCATATTTTGACCCGGTTTCTAGAAAATTATTTTAATGAACTTTTACTATATTTAAAACTATAGTGTTTTATAAAGATTCATATAAAGCCATGTAAACCAGAATTATAAAAATAGAAAACAAGTTACTAGTACCTTAGATTACAAATTTTATATTTTAGTAGGTATAGCTATCGCAAAAAAAACGAAAATGAAAATTTTTATAATTCTTTGCGCTTCAAGACCTCCTGAAAAAATGGTTGTATGTGTATGTATGGATACAATTTTTCGTCGACGATTTCGAGAGCACGGACCAACCAATTTGAATGATTCAAAAATTGTATTGACGGAATGAAAAAGTGACTAGATTTTTGGGACGGCTGGTTTAGCGGTTTCAGAGATCCCGAAAAAAAAGTTGAAATGCAATATGGCCATCAAAAATGATTATTAGACATATGCACATCAAACCATCAGATACAAAGAATTTAATGATAAGTGCAAATTTTGTTTACATTTTGTTGGGTTACGAACCAAGATTTAAAATGTTTAACCGTTAGACTGCGATGCGACGCTATAGCGCTTCGATATTTCTAATCATCAGATTAGAATTATTTTTTTGAGAACTCATCATCATTAACGTGATTTCCGCTCTACAATGACTAGAATAATTGAAAAAACATTTTTCTTGTGTTGATGTAGAAAAATGATTATTTTTGAGGAAAGGTAGGGTTCGATGGCTTCAAAAATTTCAAGAAAATTCTAAATTTTCAAAAAAGTTGATTTTTTCAAAATTTTCAATAAAAATTAAAATGTTTTATAAAATGTCAAAATTCTCAAAATGGTCTAATGTTTTAAAAAAAAACAAAAATGTTTTATAAAAATTCAAAATTTTTAAAAAAATCTAATGTTTCAAAAAAATTTAAAGCTTTTAAAAATATTAAATTACGGTACGGGAAGTTGCAGCAAATTACCTTAAGGCACTATGCCACTAGTTTTTGTATCATTTATAATGAATTTTGTTGTCATAATTCACAATTTATACTCATTTACCTCATAGATCATTTTATTTTTATGTTTACTCTATATAATCACAAAATTAAAATTTAATATACCAAAATCGAAAAGGCTTACTACTGGGTAACCTATATATCATTAAAATTATTGAATTTCTTCCTTTTTGTAAAGACAGATTGTAATTCAATAAAGAGAATAAAAAAAATTATAATGAATAAATTTTATTCCGTACGCCCATGGTCGGTCGAATGCATAAAACGTTGACGTGTCGTGTCTGTCAGAATGCATTATAATGCACACACAACACACAACACAGAAAACACGGCGAACGCAGGAACAGAGGAACAGAGCAACAGAAGAACGCAGCGACGCGTCGTCGTCATCGGGCAAGAGACGAAGAACTGGCACTGGCACGACTTCGAATCTTCGAAACCACAACAATGCCCACGAACGACGCACGACACAAGACACAAGACACACGATCGACACGCGTAATAGTACTAGACTCGGAGACATAGATAAGTAAACATTAATATTACACGGAGATTAATTTGTGAAGAAAGCCAAAACTAGCTGTAAGTGGAATTCTGTCTTAAGGCAATTAAGGCATCGTGCCTTAAGGCAAATTGCTGGAACTTCCAGTACCGAAAAATTATTATTTTTTTAAAAACGATTAACATTTTTGAAAAAAATTTACTTTGAAAAAATAAGATTTTTGAGAAACTATAAATTGGACAAAAAATTACTTTTTTTTGAAAAAAAAATTTTTTTTTTTGATTTTTTTTTTGATTTTTTTTTAAAAAAAAAAAAAATTTTCTTTATTTTGACATATTGTGGAAGATCTGAACTTTTTTTCAAAGCAATCGTACTGCTTTAACTGCATAAAGACGAAATATCAAAGCGGGTAAGCGCCGCGTCGCTGTCTAACGCATAAGCATTGGTACGGAACCCATAGGAATGTTAACAAAATGTATACTTATTGTTAAAATCTCTATAAAATATCTGATAATTTGATGTGCATATGTCTAATGATCATTTTTGACCGCCAAATGGCTCATTATTTTACTTTTTCCTCCATATCTCCGAAACCGCTAGACCTACCTTCATGAAAATTTTATCGATTCTTCATCTTGTCAATACAAGTGAAATGTTTTTTGAATTATTTAAATCGGACGCTCCGTTCTCTTAAAAACTGAGTTAACGTTTTCGGCACTTTTTGCCCCGTATCTTCGGAACGGCTAGACCTGCCTTCGCCAAAAACTAATCAACACGTCTCCTTATCAATACGAATCGAATGTTTTTTTAATTATTCAAATCGGTTGATCCGTGTTCCCGAAATCGTCGACGAAAATTTGTATCCACACATACATACACACACACACACACATACATACATACATACATACATACATACATACATACACACACACACACACACACACACACATACATCCATTTTTTCTAAGGTATGCCAAAATGTTCAGAAACCATTGAAACGTAAAGATATATAAAAATTTTCATTTTTGATTTTTTTGTGATTACTATAACTTACCCTACGGGAAGTTAACAACGCACTTTTACATAAAAAACACAGATAACTAGACTGGTTAAAGCTCTCTCGTGGATTTAGTGTTAGAACTTTGGAATTGCAAGCAGAAGTTTTTCCCGGACAGCCTGATGTCAAGCAGTAGTGGCATCAGCTTTAACTTGGAAATGTAAATGACAATGTTTCCAAGTCAAAATAGTACATAGTCGGCATTGCTGCACCAATAAGAAAAAATCATCGGTATTAGAGAAGATCTAATAATAAATGAACTAGTGGGACGCATAGCATCGTATCTTAAGGCAAATTGCTGGAACTTCCCTTACCAAAAAATTTTTTTTTAAAAAAGATTAACATTTTTGAAAAAAATTTACTATGAAAAAATTAGATTTTAGAGAAACTATAAATTTTTGACAAAAACTTACTTTTTTTTGAAAAAGAAAAGACTTTTTGAAGAAAAAATTATTTTGAAATATTTTGGAAATTCTGAACTATTTTCTAAGCAATCGTACTGCTTTAACTGCATAGAGACGAAATATCGAAGCGCGTAAGCGCCGCGCCGCCGTCTAACGGATAAGCATTGGTACGGAACCCATAGGAATGTAAATAAAATTTATACTTATTGTTAAAATCTCCATAAAATATTTGATAATTTGATGTGCATATGTCTTTTTTTTTATTTTATTTTCATTCTGATGTGCATATGTCTAATGATCATTTTTGACCGCCAAATGCCATTGTTTTTTTACTTTTCTTATTGGGTCTTCGGAAACGCTAGACCTGCTTGCCCAAAAATTTAATGAATTCTTCATTTTGTCAAAACGAGTAAAATGTTTTTAGAATCATTCAAATCGGACACTCCGTTCTCTCAAAAACTGAAAAATCATGTTTGACACTTTTTACTCCGTATCTCCGAAACGGCTAGACCTGCCTTTGCCAAAAACTAATCAGCACGTCTCCTCATCAGTAAGAATCGAATGTTTTTTGAATCAATCAAATCGGTTGATTCGTGTTCGCGAAATCGTCGACGAAATTTTGTATCCGCAACATACACACTTTTTTCTAAGGTATGCCAAAATGTTCAGAAAACTCTAAAACGTAAAGATATACAAAAATTTTCATCTTCGATTTTTTTGCGATTAGTATAACTTACTCTACGGGAACAAACAAAATTAATTATAACAAATAAAATAAAAACTAGTAGTGCATGACATCGTGCCTTAATGCAAATTGCTGGAACTTCCCGTACTGTAACGAATTGATCGAGGAATATTAAATGTTTTCAAACAGATTATTGTAACATTGTCTAATATTTTTAAGAATTATATAAACTAAATTGCAAAATTGAAATTATTTGTTTAATGTATATTAGAATTTTAGTCAGAATTAAAAATAAAATCTGAATTATTTTCGATATACAAAAAAAAAAATTTTTTTTTGAAAAAAAATAAATTGAAACAAAAAAAAAATTATTTCCAAAAGTAATTATTTTGTTGAAATAAGCAGAAAGTTTTTTGAATAATTCAAATCGGACGCTTAGTTCTGTCAAAAACTGCCATTTTTTGCACATTTAGCTCTGTATCTTCGAAATGGCTGGAAGTTCAAAGTTAAGTTCAAAGAATCTTAAATTCCTTCCATTAATTAATAAATTAAAGAAGCATATTGTTCAATGAAAAAAATCTAATTTTTAGAACATTTAGTGCATCATAATTTTGTTAAAAATAATTTGAATATAAATACAACGAATTAACATTTTGTCAATAATCAATTTATGTTTACTTAAAATAAAATATTGAGGTAGTAGTGTTGAAACCAGTTTTATAGAGTTATTATTAGTCAATAACATAAGAAAATAGATTGTATTTACATTTCTGAGTCAGTTAAAAGTGTGCCAGATTTATATTTAGCATGTGATGCAAAACCGCTAAAATACTATATTATCAAAATTGCATATTATAAAAAAAATATATATATATATATATATATATATATTTATATATACTTATACAAATGTATATATTTATGTATGTTTTTTACTATGGTTGTTACTAAATCAAAGTACTATTTATTAACAATATTTTTATTAATATAATTAATACAACTTTATACAATTTTAATAAAATTTTAATAATTAATTCATAATCTACCCGTTGGGTCAATTCATAAATGGCAATAAAACTACTTCATAAGTATTTTATTAAGTGTTATCATTTTCCAGTCACAGCCAATTTTTTACTTCTTGAGATTAAAAATTGATAAACCTGGCTCAATTTATCTAACAAAAACCATTGTATTCTTGTAACTAATTTAACATTACCAGAAACATTTGTCCAAATGCCCATTTTTTTTCGTTGTGCTTCCAGTTGGGCTGATTGAAGTCCGTTTTTATAACTTTTAGTTAACTTGTCTTTAGTAAGAGCGTCTTCAATTTGACTTACCTTGGCAAAGCCAATTCGGACGAGGTATTCTCCGATATTTAAAGTCTCAAAAGATTTTTTCTTGTTAGGTGATTTAAGTTCCATAGTAACAATACAATTAACATAATCTTTATCGGTACTAACTGGAACAAATTTAATTTTACGGCCTGACACAATTGTTTGCAGCCAACTTGTAGCGTTGCCGGACAGCTCAACGCCTAATATTCTAACAGGTAGCCCTGGATTACCCCAGTGTAGGAATGGAACACGAATTGGTGGATGGTGTTTTACTAATAGGACGTTTTTAGTAGGCTCGAATTGTGCAACTTCTCCTTTTTGTTGTACCCTTTCAGCTATGAATTTCTTAGGGATTTGTTTTGGTTTTGTGTACAAGGAAAAAGGTCTGATTTTATATACAGCTACAGCAAAAGCCAATCCTGCTGCGGAATATATGCCCAGTTGGGAGCCTCTGGTGTCTTTTTCCATAAAAGATTTAAAATCGTCATGTAATTCAGCGATGCCCATTTTGCCTGACATATTAAACTTTTTTAAAACAATATTAAACTTTTCCCATGTCAACGTATAAATATGTCACTTACTAGAACTTTCACACAGTTCCAAACTCAATTCATAACATGTTTTTCGATCAGAAACTAAAAAATAACAACATTCGTACAATTCGCAATTCGATCGAGGACATTGAAGACATAACATAACCTTCTGACAGCTGTCAAATTCAATACAGTGTTACCACCTGACAGAATGCATTTTGTTCAGTTGCATCATTTGAATTTGAACTAGTGGTGTATGGCATCGTGCCTTAAGGCAAATTGCTGGAACTTCCCGTACGGTATTAAATATTCTACAAACAACTTGTGTGTATTAAGTAGAAATTTGTTCTTTTTTTAATTAGATTTTTTGATAATTTTAAATTTTCTTTAAAATTTTGAATATTTTTTGGAATTTTTGAAAAAATGGATTTTGAGAAATGAGAAATTTTTTTGAGAATTTAGAAAGTTTTGAAAATATTCCATCTTTTTAAAAAAATTCGAAATATTCTCAAATTTTTGTAATAGATTTTTCTTAAATTTTGATACTTTTTGCAGGACCATTTTTACACCCTTTGCCTTTTGCAAAAACGCCTTGCGATCGATTACAAATCGAATGTTTTTTTCAATCATACAAATCGTCAATCATCAAATTCCATACTGTCGATACTGTCGAACATTTAAATGCAATTTATGAACTCTCAATAAAAAAAAGTTTAAAAAATGCCATTTGGCGGTCAAAAATGTTTATTGGTATAAACGTTAACTGCAATCAGTAGCTACCTACGAAACACCACAGAACGTGCATATGCTTCGGCATAGATACTTGTTAGAATATCTTAAGCGTACGACGAACTTTGATGAATTCTCATAATTCAACCTATCGTAGGCCTATAATATTTTAGTATGTTATTTCAGACTACGGAATCTATCGTTGTATAAAGTTTTATCAAAACCTTAAATTTTTCGGTTAAAACGGTCGAGCCGTTTTTGAGAAACCGTCGACAAAAGTTCAAAAATCGGCTCATAATTTTTCTATTATATTTTTTATATAAATATTTTCATTACAAGGCAACCCAATGGTTGTGCTATTATATTTTTGTTATATTTTTATTACAAGGCAAACCAATGCTTCTCTTTTCACTCTTCACAATAATGCCCAGAAGGGCTACTTACACATGGAAATATATCTATATTTTCAAGTGTAAATGAATATCACTACTACTTGATGTCACTTAGTATCGGAGAATAGAACCCGGAACCATGTAGTTGCAATACTGAAGCTCCACCACTTATGATGATTTGTAAATATCCTCATACATGATGATTTGTAAATATCCCAGGAATATTTATGATGAAAAGTATTGTCTTATGAACAAATAATAGTGCAGTCATTATAGGAAGTTCACCTCGGAATTTGAGATACCAAGCTGTAAGTCTATAAATACTTGTATATTGACTCCTAAAAGTTGTCTCAAAACCTACATATGGTAGAGTGTACGTACCATATGTAGGTATTGTGACAGCTTTTAGGGTGTCAATATACAAGTATTTACAGACTTACAGCTGGATATCTCAAATTCCGAGATTCTACCTAATTTAAGCTTAAATGACTGGACTATAATATTTGTTAAGAGGAAGAGAAAATCTATTATAATAAAAAAAATTAGAGACTAAACAACAATGCATTCATTTATAAAAAATTTATTAAAATAACCTAACAGTTAGATTTAAATAATGTCATTTCATATTGGAATAGTAAAATATAAAATTTAATTATATAAAAACAATATACCTTAAAAATTTTATTATTAAAATATAATATATAGTTTCTTTTTATTAGTTAGCGTTTCTTCATATATAAAAAATACAATATAGATTCACACAAAGCAGATTACAAATCGTCATCCCCTATTCCCTCGAATGCTTCATTTTGAACTGCAGCCCTCTCTGAACGAAATAGAACAGTGGTACTGCTTTTCTTCTGTTCCTGTTTGCTAGTTCTCCTCGCTGCTTTCTTACCATCAGACTTACTAGGATTAAACTTTATGAGCCCCCTATCCCTACTTAGATAACACCAGTTCATAAATTTTCCACTATCACCGTCTTCACCCTTAGGAACAGATTCAGCAACAGGTTCGTCCTTATTCACTCGTTTTACAACTAATTCATCTACAATGGACTGTAAGCTGGATGACATCAGGGCAGCTTGGTCACTTGATAATGTAATCCATTTCAAGTTATCCTTCGATACTAGGAACTCGAATGAGAAATCTAGTCTGGTGGAAATAGATTGCGAGGGGTGTAAGTTTTCGAAGTCGAGGAATCACCAGGAGTTAACTCGTCGTTTGAACTTGATGCTGATAGGTCGTCATCCTGAAAATATTTATTAGTGGTAAAATATGTAATTAAAAAAAAATCCGATGCAGTTTGAAAGTAATGAGCTTATGAGTACAACCTGGAGCTTTGGCTAACTGTGACCATTTTTCGGTTATTAACTTCCCGAAGGGAAATTTATGTTTTAATCAGAAAATCCGATTCGCTAATTTTATGTTTTCTCCACGTTTCAAGCCAATCTGAATCGAATGAGACCAAATTTGGAAAAAGTATGTGTGTGTGCGTGCGTGCGTGAAGATTTTTTACCGTAAATTGACGTTTTCTCAAAAACGGATAATACACCGATTACAAAAATTTAAAAGCCATGCGATGTATCTCGATGAGGACTAGCGTTTATCAATTTTGCGCGACGATCGGCCAAGCCGTTTCTTTGTAAATCACAGAAAAGTGAAAATTTTTTCGTCCACGTTTTAGCCCGGAATTCTGAATCGATTTTGAAAATTCAAAAAGCGTTAAAAATGTTTTTTCGACGATGTCTTATAGATCATACTAAAATATTACGGCAAAACGACAAGTCGTTTAATTTTAAAAATTCTTCATAGTTTGCAAAAATTAGTATCGTTTTTTTGGGATTTTGTCAAAATTAGACCTTTCATCGACATTTGCTCAAAAAGGCCTGAACCAATTTCAGAAATTTAAAAGCCATTTGATGTATCTCGATGAGGACCATCGTTTGTCAGTTTTGTGCGACGATCTGTCAAGCCGTTTCTTTGTAATTTGAAAAAGTGTTAAACTTTTCGTCCACATTTAAGCTCATACTACCGAATCGATTTTAAAAAATCAAAAACCGTTCGATAGATATTAGTTGGGAATGATACTGATTACTTTTAAGTGAAAATATGCCGAGCCGTTTTCCTGTAATTAACTGTAGAAAAAAAAATTAAGCCGATTTTTATGGATTTTTTTTTGACCATATATAGCATGGTCTTATAGAACTTACTGAAATATTACGGCATTACGATAAATAGTTTAATTTTAAAAATTCATTAAAGTTTGAGAAAATGAGTAGTTTTTTTGACATTTGTTAAAATTAAAATTAGACAATTCACATGGCATAATGATACAGTACTTGGTCTTAATGAGCACATTAAGCCATTAAAGTCCTACAAAGTTCAATTACAAAAATTATTGATTTTGGAAAATTTGCTTTTAGAAAATACTCCGACTTAACGTGTTCGTTCGTTTTCAATGGTGTGTAATAAATTCACTCGGAATACTTTTAATCACTCATTAATTAATTTATTTTTTATTGATTACGTCGATTATTTACACATATCGGAAAGTTCATGTAACTTGCCTCAAGGCAAAATACCAAAACCAATTAGTTTTTAATATTTATAAAACTTAACAAAAACCACAGTGCTGGTATAAATCATTGGAATTTCAATATATTAATATGGAAAAAATCGCTTCGAGATACGAGCGTGGTTAAAAAACAAAACTATATCAATTATATCAATAATATAATATAAAATTGAACTAATATTTACAACTCACATTTATATGCACCGACGTCAACCTCCAACACCTGATTCTGGTCACTGGGAAAATTGATGTCTCACATTTCCTTTCGCCATTCTTCTTGCGGATAACTGACTTTGTATTAGAAACTATTGTTATAGTTCGAGGAGAAAACGTGGCCGTGGAAATATTTCCAGGTTCCGGATAATCACAGGCACAGGGTAGAAATCGTAGGCTGCCGTATGTAGGTAAATCCCTTACTTTATGCAGGTACTGTAATGGTGAGATATATTTTATAAACTCCATTGGATTATGTAATATACTAGCTGTTCGCGTAAAATTTAACAAAAAAGATATTGCGTTTTTATTTTAATAGCTATTTTCAGTTTTTTTGTATTAGATTTATTGAACAATTCTTTTATTTACAATATTTAGTGTACTATTTATTTCTTGGGCTTATTAGTCCAAAAAACAGCACTTTTGGCCTTCACATGTTTTTAGAGATACAGTAGAACTCCAATTATCCCAACTCCAATCATCCGAACTCCAATTATCCGAACTCCAATTATCCGAACTCCGACTATCCGAATCGCCGATTATCCGAATCACTTTCAGAAAAAAAAATTGTCCAAAAAAGGTCTAAGTGCGCTATTATTCATCCACCAGCAAAGCCAGTGTAGGCACATTGTTTGTTTTGATTTGACGGAGATGTTTACAAAACAATGATTTTTATTTCTAAACTTGTACATAAGTACATTTTATTTATATTTAAAACATGTGAAAATATCATGTTTCTTTCATTTAATTCAATAAAAAAATAGTGCAATATCAAAACGTAACTTTTTTTCTCTCCAATGGCAATTTTAAAAAAAAACTCCGAATATTTGATTATCCGAATATTTGATTATCCGAATCGGTCCCGGTCCCCATTAATTCGGATAATTGGAGTTCTACTGTATTTGACTTTTTTTTAATCATATCAATGGGTGTTGTACTAAAAAATTAAAAATCCAATCTACCGATATTTATTGTAGGAAAAAACAATTTAATTTGTTTATTCTTATAATATTGCATTTTAATACCATGTTTATTAGTATATACCATGATTTTGAAATTATTAATAAGTTTGTCCCACCATGAAATTGAAAAAATTAAATGTGGCCCATGAGTTTAAAACGTTACTAATTCTTAGAATAAATCTATGCAGAAACCGGACAGTGTTATCTTTTCAAAATTTACTATCAGTTATTTTTTACACTTTTTTATTGAATTTTTTTTTCCTAAATACGATAAAACGACCAAAGAATGCGTAACGAAAATTTTTCATAAAAAAAGACCGAGATGAAGTAAGTAAATTGCAACAATAGTGGTATCAACCCGGTATGCTTTTGGAAAATTGCTTTTTAACATTAATATACTGCAAAAAATAAATTTAGATATTACTGTAAATGTATATTCTTCAGTGTCCACAAATTCATAACAAACAAATCCCATAAAATACACAATAATATCAAAGCAAATACGTTTTCGTCAAAATGCAGCACCGAGTAGCTAGTAGATTGTTTTTTAATCGGTGCCGAGGAGTTAGGGTTAAACAGACACAATTTTATTTATATTGATAAATTGAAGAAAATTAAATTATGATAATCTATTCACCTCTTTAGTAAATCCGCCATTTTGCAACTCCTCGAGATGAGTTAAAGTAGCCGTATCTTTACAGGTGATCCACCCACGTTCAACATCCCCCACTGCTTGAACGTATAGCAAACCTAGAGCTACATTTGAAGATAAAATCCTATCATCTAATACAGCATCCCAATATGATCTCCTTAAATGCACATTACAGTCTTTGTGAACCTGTCTAAAAACAATAAAACATTTCGTATTACTTACAGTTGCTAAAAAATATTTTTGCATGCAATATACAGGGGCACCCCCGACATACGAGTTGAATTCGTTCGTAAAAAAAAATTGAACTAGTGGGGTGGGTGGCATCGTGCCTTAAGGCAAATTGCTGGAACTTCCCGTACCGTAACGAAATGTTCGAGGATACTGAATGTTTTCAAATAGATTATTATAAATATTGTAACATTGTCTAATATTTATAAATATTATATAAACTGAATTGCAGAGTTGAAATTATTTGTAAAGTATATTACAACTATAGTCAGAATTAAAAATAAATATTTTCGATATACAAAAAAAAAAAAAAAAAAAATGGTACAATTTTTTTTCCAAAATCGATTATTTTGTTAAGACAAGCAGAAAGTTCTTTGAATCATTTAAATCGGACGCTTAGTTCTCTCAAAAACTGCCATTTTTTACATATTTAGCTCCGTATCTTCAAAATGGCTGGGCCTGCCTTTGCCAAAAACTAATAAACACTTCTCCCAATCATTACTAATTGAATGTTTTTTAGATCATTCAAATCGGATACTACGTTCTCTCAAAAATACGATTTCTATTTTCTGCACTCTTTGCTCCGTATCTCCGAAACGGCTGGACCTGCCTTTGCCAAAAACTAATCAGCTCTTTTCCCTATCAATAGGAATCGGATGTTTTTTGAACCATTCAAATCGGTTGATCCGTGCGCCCTAAAACGTGACTGGAAATTTGTATCCACACATACATACACACACACACATCCATTTTTTCTGAGGTATGCCAAAACGTTCAGAAACCTTCAAAACGTCGAGAAATGTAAAAATTTTCAATTCCGATTTTTGGCCCATTACAATAACTTACCCTACGGGAAGTTAAAAAAAAAATCCAGAAGCAATTATTTTGTCAAAACAAGCAGAAAGTTTTTTGAATCTTTCAAATCGAATGCTCAGTTCTCTCAAAAAGTGCTATTTTTTGCACATTTAGCTCGGTATCTCTAAAACGGCTGGACCTACTTTTGCCAAAAACTAAACACCACTTCTTAAAATTTTTTAATGAAAAAAATTCATTGTTACAAGTGACAAAATTTTTCATATTTTCATTTTTCCATTAATATTTTTCGAGCTCGTATCTCGAATTTTGCGCGTATGTCAAAGCAACTCATCGCGCCTTTTGCGGCTCCTATCTCAAAACTCTAGTATGTCGGGTCACCTGTTAGTCGAAGCACTACTGTTCTGAGTACTTACCTTAAAGATAAATGCGGAGCCTCAAAGGCCTGCAGTCTTCTAACTAGCTCAAGTTCTCCATCCTTCAAAATCCTGGCAAGATATAAGCTAAAATTATCCACAAACTCTTTTTGAAGTCCCAGATCTTCGCAAACTTTATTTAAGACTGCTGGTGCTGACCACGTAGACGTAACTTGGACAACCCTTCTAACACCATGTGGAAGATATATATCCAAGCTGATCTCACGAGATTTCTCAGCAGCCAATTCATGTTGCGCGGTCAGCAAAAAATTATTTAGGAGATACCCTTTGGAAACGATAGGGTCTTGTCCAACTGTAAAAACATTTTTTTTTAATTTTGTTAATAACAATTTCAAAATATGAGTGGTTTTACCTAATTGCAGATATCTTTCAAGTTGTGTTCGTCTATCCTCCAACTGTGTCAACGATAGTGGTAATAGCTTTTTTGGGGGAAATATTGGCAGCCTATTTGGATATGCTTTTCGTAACTGATCATGCAGATAATGGAGCTGTCTAAATCTTAATATACAATGAAAGGCACCGTTCACATGAATGTTAAAGCCCTAAATATAAAAAAAGTATTTTAACGTCATTGAATATAAATACTTTTAAGTTCATTCAACTGTGCGCACAGATTTGTGTCATCAGAATAGAGGCGAAATGCCACTTACAACTATAAGCATGGATCAAAATATTCTAAATATCTTGAAATTTGATAATAACATATGTTTTGTTTTCTAATTTGATAATATCTAAATATCCAATGGTCATAGTTTTATACGCATGACGAGTACACAAAATTCACAAAATTCTGCAGCTTTCCCTTGACGAATATACTCGTCAATCAGTTCGGTCGTTACCACCAGAATTTAACTACATTTTTTTGAACCTAACACCACACTTAAACCCTATAATTATTATATGATTTAAAAACTTATATTTTAAGGTTTGTGTGTAAAAAAATCTAATCAATCACATGCAGTAGTTTTTGGATGGTGCACTTTGAATACGGAAAGAATTAAGCAGCATTTCCGACATATTTTACTCTTTTGCTATAGAAAAGGTAAAAAACTGTTTAAGGCAAAATGAAATTGATCGATGTGTACGGAAATGACATGTTGATAGTACGACAGTGCCAAAATTGGTTTGCTAAATATCATTCCTGGTATTTTGATGTCCAAGATGCACCAAGTCCAAGATGGACGGTTGAAGCTGATAAAGACGCGAGAAAGGCATTAGTTGATGCAAACCGACGAATAAAAATACATAAGAAATCATTGAGTAAAAATTTATCAAATTTAACAGTTCATGACCACTCAAAAGGTCTGGGATTTTCCTCAAAACTCAATATATGGTTCTCATAGAAAGAAGCGTGTGTCGTCGCACTGGCGTCCGCGATTCGCCTCTGAAAAGTCTTGAAAATTATCAGATTTGGAAGCAAATTGTCACAAGGAATGTCAAATGGGATGTAAAAAATGCAATATACGCAATTGCCCAAGAAACATAAAAGAAGAACCTGCTCAAAACAGGTGCAAAGCTGAAATTTGCCAGAAAAAGGTGATGCAGTATGTTTGGTAAGATTTTAAAGGAGTTGTTCATTAGGAAAGGTCAGAATTGACCCACAACAAGGTATAGTCCTGCATCAAGACGACGCAAGACCTCACATTAGTTTGGTCAATCGCCAAAAGCTTTTGAAGCTTGAATGGGACCCAATAAAACATTCATCATATTCTTCAGACCTGCCATCATCGGACCATTTTTTTTCCGGCCACTAAAAAAATTATTAAGTAGTAAAACCTTTACCTCAAATGAGTAGGTGAAAAAGCACTTTGATCACTGTTTTGCCAATAACGACCAAAACATTTATGATTTCGGGGGTAAGTGAATAACACGGAGTAAGTTGCAACACCGCACATTTTCTAGAAAATGATTAATTATAAAATAATAAACAACATTTATGGAACTATTTTTCCTGTTTCGGTAGAGGAATAGTTACAGCAACCACCCAGCTTTATTTCGTAGAAATATAATCAGTGGATCTAAAGATAGGCTCCTCTACTGTTGGTAGATCTCTAATATAAGCAAATTTATTGTTAAATCTTTAATGAAAAACGCTCACAAAAAAAATTAATCATCCAGATTCATTAGAAATTTCCTTACGTTGCCCATGTTCAACCACTGCTTTTATAAAAGTATCACTAGGTAAATTATTGGAGCAGCCGTAACATTTTATAAAAACATCTGTAGTCTTAACATCAAACTTTTAACATTACAACTTCTTTTAATTCAATTGATGGATCCGGTTATCAACTTTTCATCTTATTACCATTGCAAATATGCCAACTAAGCAATTAAAAATTCCACAGTGATTTGATTGAATTACTAAAAGTCAACAACTTGTTATGCCATTTGGACACCCTTATGTACTATATCCTATTAGTATGGACACCACTATAGTATATAGATAACTCTAGTACTCTATCCTAAACTATTTCAGTTTCAATATCCTAATTTCTTGGCCTCGAATGAACTACCCAGTAGTAATTGCAAAATAGTACTGTCATGTTGTCCATAAGTATGATATTTTGTCCAAAAGTAAACAAAAGTTGGGCCCTCTTTGGAACATAAGCACATGATGCATTAGAACAATGGGAACAAATCCTACATCGTAACCAACCTTAGTTAAGCTCTGAACGTAAAAAGAGGTCTTTGCAACAAATGCAAGTCTCTTCTTTTTACCAAAGGATCCTTTGGTCGGTTTTTAGAAGTAGTTAGAGTAGAAGGTAAAATCCAATCACCTTTTACAGGTTTAAATATCCTATTTTGTTAGCCTCAAATGAACTTAGCAGTAGTAATTGCAAAATAGTACTATGTCATTGTATAAGTATGTTATTTTGTCCAAAACTGAGTAAAATGAAAAAATAGTCAAAAAATTATCAAACACTTGATAACTTATCAAAACCACTAGTACTGGCATAAGTTCATTGATTTCAATAGAAATACTTACAAATAAGTCTCAAAAACATGACAAAACCACCCCAATATAAACTTTTGACTGTGTGATACACATTTCAGATAATTCGAAAAGATTGTGACATCTGACAGGATTGTGATTTTTCTCAGGCTTTTCTCATCCCATACAGCCATGTAAACATTATAGTCCAGTCATTTAAGTTTAAATTAGGTAAGAATCTCGAAATTCGAGATACCCCGATGTAAGTCTGTAAATACTTATATATAGACAATCTAAAAGTTGTCTCAAAACCTATATATGGTAGGGTATCAATACCATATACTTTAATTTCTACTAATCAACATGGATTCATGCCTGCCCATTCTACGATAACAAATGTAATCTGTAGTAAACAATATATAGCTGAGAATCTTGACACTAATGGACAAATTGATGTTATTTACACTGGCTTCAGTAAAGCTTTTGACAAAAATAATCATAACATTCTTCTTACTAAATTATCTAAAATTGGTCTTAATTCTTTACTTATTTATTTTTGAGTTATCTTCATATTCGTAAACAGTTTGTCTATCTTAATGGATTCTTGAGCAATATTGAAAATATCAGTTAAGGTGTTCCTCAGGGATCCATTCTTGGTCCACTACTATTTACTATTTCTATTAATGACATATCTGAAATTATTAGCTGTCCACATTTATTATTTGCAGATGATCTCAAACTATATTTCAAAATAAATTCTATTGATGACTGCTTATTATTACAGTCTCAACTTGACTCTTTCCACTCTTGGTGTGTCTAAAACAAATTACATTTAAATATATCAAAGTGCAAGATTCTTAGTTTTTCACATTAGCGCGTTCCAATACATTTTGATTATCAAATTCCTAACACCAGCTTTGATAGATGTAATAAAATTTCAGATTTAGGAGTTTTATTTGATTCTGGTTTGTTTTTCACGGATCATATAACTGATATTTGCAATAGAGCACATAAATCTTTAGGTTTGATACTGAGAAGTTGTAAACAATTCAATTCTAAGAATGCACTTCTTTGCATGTACTATTCTAATGTACGTTCAAAATTAGAATATGGTTCGATTTTTTGGTATCCTCATCAAATCAACAACTCTGATGCGATAGAGAAGGTTCAGCGAAAATTTCTGAAATATCTTTATTATAAAACATATGAAATTTACCCTGAACGTGGCTTTGACCACTTTACTAAAAGAATTTGGTACTCCTTCATTTGCCTCATGTCGATTTATCTGTACAATTATGTTCTTATTTAAACATTGCAATAATTCTATAGACTGTCCTCTTATTCTTAATCAACTATCCTTTAATGTTCCAAGGCTATCTACGCGTTCACAATTATTTTTCAATTATCCTACTCCTAAATCTAATTCTCTCTTAAATTCACCTATTTTACTTATGTCCTCTAACTTTAACTTAATAAATAATGAAATAGATATTCATAACACTTCACCTAATCAAATTATCTCCATCTGCACAAGTTGACCTTTTTATTTTCTTTTTCTAATATCTCATTATTTGATCTTATTCTGTTTATAAATAATATTGTTACATTCTGCATTATATGTAATTTTATGTTAAGCATTTTATGTTAATAACTATATATTGTAATTTTGTATATATTTTGTAAATATTATGTATATATATATATTATGTAAAATGATTGTATTTTTGAGTCCTCTTGAAAGAAATCTGTGGGCTATATATTTAAAATAAATAAATAAATAAATAAATATCCTATTTTCTTAGCCTCGAATAAACTACTCTGAAGTTCTTGCAAAATAGTACTACGTAATTTTGTCCATTGCATCAGTATATCATTTTGTCCAAAAGTGAACAAAAATGAAAAGATAGTCAAAATTTTATCAAACATCTGATAATTGATTGAAATCACTGTTACATGACAAAATTACCTCAATATAAACTTCTGATAGTGTGATACACATTTGAACTGATTACTTTGAAAAGATTGAAGCTCAATGTCTGACAGGATTGTGAATATGGCTTTTCTCATCCCACACAGTTACTAAAATTTTTAAATAAAGAAACTGTGTCATTTCGCCTATATATACCATTGTGTCCGGATTTCCCCTACACATTAAGAAACTTTCAAAAGCCATTTATATCGAGAGAAAGCAATTCCATTAAATAACATTTTCCCCTGATAAATGTCTGTAAACATATCCGACATTACACCAATCCCCATACCTTAGACTTTCAAAACAATCCAATAATAATTCAGAAGGATTAAATATCCTATTTTCTTATCTTTGAAAAAACCTTGTAAAATAGTACTATGTCATTTTGTCCATTGCATCAGTATATCATTTTGTCCAAAAGTGAACAAAAATAAAAAGATAGTCAAAATTTTATCAAACATCTGATAATTGATTGAAATCACTGGTACATGACAAAACTACCTCAATATAAACTTCTGATAGTGTGATACACATTTGAACTGATTACTTTGAAAAGATTGTGGCAATGATGCTCAACGTCTGACAGGATTATGGCTTTTCTCATCCCACACAGTTACTAAAATTTTTAAATAAAGCCAATGTCTCATTTCACCCATATATACCATTTTATCCGTATTTCCCCTATACAGTGAGAAACTTTCAAAAGCCACTCATATCAGGAGAAAGCATTTCCATTAAATAACATTTTACCCTGATAAATGTCTGTAAACATATCCGACATTACACCAATAACCATAACTTAGACTTTCAAAATAATCCAATAATAATTAAGGTTTAACTATCCTATTTTCTTAGCCTCGAATGAACTACCCTGAAGTTCTTGCAAAATAGTACTACATCATTTTGTCCTCTGCATCATTATATCATTTTGTCCAGAAGTAAACAAAAATGAAAAGATAGTCAAAATTTTATCAACATCTGATAATTAGATGACAATAGAAAGAAGAAATTGTGAGGAAATGTAATATTGAGCGCTTGTAAAATATATAATGAATTGCCAAACGATATTAAGATGACCAATGATGACGACAAATTTAAAAGAAAAATAAAGAAATATTATAAGGAAATTGAAGATTGAATAGATATTTTAATTATAATAAATATTATATTGTAGTATAATGAAATAGACAAATGATATGTATATATATAAAATAAGAAAATTGTTTCATAATCTCTCATACCAGATACCCCTGTCTGACTGAGATATGAAAATAATATATAAATAAATAAATAAATAAAAAATAATTGGTTTTGAATCACTGGTACATGACAAAACTACCTCAATATAAACTTCTGATGGTATGATACACATTTGAACTGATTATTTGGAAAAGATTGTGGCAATGAAGCTCAACGTCTGACTGGATTGTGATTATGGCTTTTCTCATCCCATATAGTTACTAAAATTTTTAAATAAAGCCACTGTGTCATTTCTCCTATATATACCATTTTGCCTGTATTTCCCCTATACAGTAAGAAACTTTCAAAAGCCACTCATATCAGGAGAAAGCATTTCCATTAAATAACATTTTCCCCTGATAAATGTCTGTAAACATATCCAACTTTACACCAATCCCCATACCTTAGACTTTCAAAACAATCCATTATTATTCTCACAAAATTTCGTCATATTTTTTATATCAATAAATTACAATATTTACCATGTACGACGATCCATTCGAGTTAAATAATTGCGTATCGGGAATCGAGAAATGCATTCTGTGATTCTATTTGACGTTGCATAACTTTTGTAATTTTTTTGTATCATTTAGTACACAACTTGAAAATTTTGTGGAACTTGGGTCGAAACAAATTAATAAACAGATTGTGGACAACTGTCAAAACACACGGCCTGCCATGTTTGATGCTCGACGACTGCTCGGTTGGGGGAGGGGGGATTGAAGTAAATCAAACGTATCATCTCTTTTTGAATGAGATGGAAAACGAGATTTATAATATACACCTAAGTCTGTTTTTACACGGTAGATTGGTTCCAGAAGAAGCCGTGTAAAAAAAAAAACTGTGTAAAAAAAGACATTGATCTTATACAAAAATGGGTGATTTGTTCTTAATCTCTAAAACCTATTAAAATTGGTGAAAAACAAGAATTTTTAAGAACAAGAATTCATGTTTATTTTATTAAATCAAATATATAATGCTTATTTTTACAAGCATAGTTTATAGTTAATTTTATTGTATGCATATCCCCTAAATTAGTGCTATTCACATTTGCTTTGACCAGTAAAAATTGTTTGTACGCGCTAAAGGGAAATTCACTTAAATCTTTAAGCTAGTGTTCGCAAACTATCAATACTATCGGTGGTTTCAGACTTTTTTCTTTCATAAATACTTTTTTGTGATATGAACATACTTCGCAAAAATTAAATTTGACAAAAAAAATTAAGTACATAAAATTTCAAATCGTGCTAAATGGAATAAAATCGTGTAAAAAAATTAAAAATATTCAATTTTCAGACTGTGTTATATCAAAACCGTGTACAAAAAGACCGTGTAAAAACAGACTTAGGTGTATATATATATATATATATATATATATATATATATATATATAAATATAAAATATGTACAACAAAGCAAGCACTGTGTTTTATTTTTTTATTTTTTCATTCGATTTTATTTCCGTTGTGTGTATTGTGTAGTGTGCCTTGAGGCAAGTTACATAAACTTCCCGATATGAGTAAATAATTGACTTAATCAATAAAATATAAATTAATTTATGAGTGATTTAAAGTATTTCGAGTGGATTTATTACACATTGAAAACGAACGAACACGTTAACTTGGAGTATTTTCTAAAAGCAAATTTTTATAAATCAATAATTTTTATAATTGAACCAGTTTCCGTAGGACTTTAATGGTTCAGTATGTTCATTAAGACCAAGTACTCTATCGTTATACCAACCAAACCCTCTAATTTCAATTTTTAATCGTCAAAAACTCTACTCATTTTCTCAAACTTTGATGAATTTTTAAAATTAAATTACTTGTAGTAAGGCTGTAATATTTCAGTAAGTTTTATAAAACCACGATATATATCGCCAAAAAAAGTTCCATAAAAATCGCCTCAAATTTTTTTTTCAACAGTTGAATACAAGAAAACGGCTCGGTAGATTTTCACCTTAAACTAATCAGTATCATTCCCAACTAATATCTTTCGAACAGTTTTTGATTTTTTAAAATCGATTCGGTAGTATGAGCTTAAACGTGGACGAAAAGTTTAACACTTTTTCGCAAATTACAAAGAAACGGCTTGGCAGATCGTCACACAAAACTGATAAACGATAGTCCTCATTGAGATACATCAAATGGCTTTTAATTTTCTGAAATCGGTTCAGGTGTTTTTAAGAAAAAGTCGATCAAAGGTCTAATTTTAACAAATGCCAAAAAAAAACGATACTAGTTTTTGCAAACTTTGACGACTTTTTAAAATTAAACGACTTGTCGTAAGGCCGTAATATTGTAGTATTGATCTATAAGACTATGGTATCTACCGTCAAAAAAAAAATCATAACTAGCTGTAAGTGGAATTCTGTCTTAAGGCAATTAGGGCATCGTGCCTTAAGGCAAATTGCTGGAACTTCCCGTACCAAAAATTATTATTTTTTTTTAAAAATGATTAACATTTTTGAAAAAAATTTACTTCGAAAAAATAAGATTTTTGAGAAACTATAAATTGGACAAAAAATTACTTTTTTTTGAAAAAAAAAAATTTTTTTTTAATTTTTTTTTCAAAAAAAATTTAAAAAAATTTTTTTTTTTTTGAAAAAAAAAAATGTTTTCTTTATTTTGACATATTTTGGAAGATCTGAACTTGTTTTTCAAAGCAATCGTACTGCTTTAACTGCATAGAGACAAAATATAAAGCGCGTAAGCGCGGCGTCGCTGTCTAACGGGTAAACATTGATACAGAACCCATAGGAAAATAAACAAAATTTATACTTATTGTTAAAATCTCTATAAAATATCTGAAAATTTGATGTGCATATGTCTAATGATCATTTTTAACCGCCAAATGGCATTTTTTTTTACTTTTTTCGTTAGATCTCCGAAACCGCTAGACCTGCCTTTATGAAAATTTGATCAATTCTTTATCTTGTCAATACAAGTAAAATGTTTTTTGAATTATTAAAATCGGACGCTCCGTTCTCTTAAAAACTGAGATACCGTTTTCGGCACTTTTTGCCCCGAATCTCCGGAACGGCTAGACCTGCCTTCGCCAAAAACTAATCAGCACGTCTCCTTATCAATACGAATCGAATGTTTTTTGAATTATTCAAATCGATTGATCCGTGTTCCCGAAATCGTCGACGAAAATTTGTATCCGCACATACATACACACACGCACACACACACACACACACACACACACACACACACACACATACATCCATTTTTTCTAAGGTATGCCAAAATGTTCACAAACCTCTGAAACGTAAAGATATATAAAAATTTTCATTTTCGATTTTTTTGCGATTACTATAACTTACCCTACGGGAAGTTAATTACCCTACGGGAAGTTAAAAATCGTCGAAAAAAATTTAACGCTTTATTACAAGAAAACGGCCCGGCCGATCTTTACCAAAAACTAATCAGCACGATTACCAATCAATATCATTCGAACGGTTTTTGAATTTTCATAATCGGTTCAGAATTGCGGGCTAAAACGTGGACGAAAAATTTTTCACTTTTCTGCTATTCACAAAGAAACGGGTTGGCAGATCGTCGCACAAAACTGAGAAACGCTAGTACTCACTGAGATACAACGAATGGCCTTTAAATTTTTGAAATCGGTCCAGCTGATGCTTTTGAGAAAACGTCAATTTACGGTAAAAAATCTGTTCACGCACACGCACACACATACTTTTTCCAAATTTGATCTCATTCGATTCAGAATGGCTTGAAACGTCGAGAAAACATAAAATTAGCGAATCGGATTATTTGATGAAAACAAACTTCTCCTGGGTGGTGCATGGCATCGTGCCTTGAGGCAAATTGCTGGAACTTCCCGTACCGAAACATATTTTATTTTAAAATAGCTTAAATTTTTTTTTAACATTTTGGAATTTTTGAAAAAAATTGACTTTTATAAATATTTACGTTGCTGTTTTAGAGACTAAATATCGAAGCGCGTAAGCGCCGCGTCGTGTCTATCGGATAAACATTGGTACGCAACCCATAGAAACGTAATAAAAAATTATACGTATTATTAAAATCTCCATAAAATATCTGATAATTTGATGTGGTTATGTCTAATCATTTTTGACCTCAAAATGTCATTTAATACGTTTTTCACTAGATCTCCGAAACCGCTAGACCTGCCTTCCCAAAAATTTTATCAGTTCTTCATCTTGTCAATACAAGTAAAATGGTTTTGAGTTATTAAAATCGGACGCTCCGTTCTCTCAAAACCTGAATTACCATTTTTGCCCCGTATATTCGAAATGGCTAGACCTGCCTTTGCCAAAAGATAATCAGCACGCCTCCTCATCAATACAAGTGAAATGTTTTTTGAATAATCCTGTGTTCCCGAAATCGTGGACGACATAGATAAATAAACATAACGGTGGACGAATTCACACACACACACGTATACGCGAATAGGACACATTTAAAAGATAAGTATAAAATCAAGGTAAAAATGATAACATTCTAGATCCTCCCCCCACGAAGTAATGTCTAACGGCGGTTTCCGTAGGGACTAGAGGCAAAGGCAAAGCGGAGGTTTTAGTCGGTATTGACCCAGGCGGTATGGAGTCCGACATACTTAACCAAAAGACCTAGTCCGAGATGCATAGAGGCATTTTATTCACTATACAAAAAAACGCACCCGACACGAATTCATTTTTTCTATAGTATGCCAAAAATTTCAAAAACCTTTGAAACGTAAATATATGCAAAAATTTTCATTTTTGCTTAAGCGATTTTAATCAGATTCTATGCCGAAGCATTGCATGTTCTTTGATTCGTATGTAGCTACTGATAGCAGTTGACGTCCACACTTAAATGAAAAACATTTTTAGAACACGAAATAGATGAAAGAAATGTGTGGAACAAATTAATTTAATTAATACAATTATAAATATTAACAGTATCAAAGATATCAATTCAAAATCATTTTTAATAAAACGAAATATTTATTTTCTAACTGTAGTTCAACATTTTACTTAAATAGCTGAATTGCAATTCATATTAAGTTGATTATGTGTACGCATCGGAAGGTTCATGCAACTTGCCTTGAGGCAAAATGCGACTTAAAACTCTATGTAATTCTTGTAGCGACGCTCGTTGTAAAAGAGTGTCCTGGAAGAGTCTTCGGACATCTTCGGTACATTTCGTCTAGTTTAGTCTCTTTAATTATGCAAATGATACCAGATTAAGACATTCAAACAAGTACGAAAGCCGCTTCGAACATCACCCAAACTCTGCCAATACATTACCAGGGCCTGATTTAAAAGGAAATTCATTCTGCAAAAGAAATTTCATTATACATTAATCTGTCAATGTCAGTGATCATATTTTGTATTTTCAAAACTTATTTTTATTCCTAAAATTTTATTTGTTCAAGATAGTCGTGAAAATTTGCTTCCCAATTTCCAGATCACATTTTTTTGTCATTCTGAAGTTTCTTTATAAATAGTAGAAAACTGCAACAACGTCAACGTTTTCTCCTGAACAGATTTTGGACACCATTCCTATGATTTCAGCTCTCCAAATAATCTGAAGAAAAATATATGTATATATTATTAAACTAGAATAATATCGCAATCATATGAACTACGGACAAGTTAAAAAAAGTTTTTTCGCAAAATAGCGACTATAAACAAAAAAAAAAAGCGCAAGTCTTTTTGTTATTTACGAATTTTTTAAAAATAGTAAAAATAGAAATTTCAGGATGAGTTTGTAGTTCAAACTGAAAGGAAGATATAATAAAAGACTTATTAAAAATCCAAAGTAAATCGGTCTAGTAAAAAAAAAATTGTGGGTATTATATCGAAAATGACAGTTTAGAGAGAGAAAAACGCGTTTAAAATTCGTAGGGGAAAATAACTGAGGAGGATTATTGTGGCCAAACACCTATATCTTCAAAAATAATTTAAATTTTGTAATATCTTCTTACACACATATTCTTGAATAGTAAATATTTGAAAACATCAAAAAGAATAATTTTAATATATAATATAATAATTTTAATAATAAATTCTAGACCACAACACCCTCTATACAAACAGTTTGGTGCATAACATTAAAGAGTGCAGTAATAAAAAATGAAAACATAACTCGGTATGAAAATGATTAAACAAAAATGATAATAATAAATAATTCTTTATCCGCAGTAGACATACCTAATTTTCCTTGATATTTTTATTATTGAAATTTACTTATTTCTTAATAGAACACACACAAAGATTCTGCTTCCTTCTTCTTGTCTCAGCATCCAGCACATATAATTTTTCAAGGAAATATTGTTCGTTTTTGTATATTTTTGCGTAAAATAATTATGTTCTTTTTTGATCAAATTAATATTTATGGTGAGCTTTATGTTTTTTTTTTATTATCTATTAACTTCATCTTTTGATTGTTGCTTCAAGATATATTGCGTGCATTGTTTTTTTTTTTTTATACACGATCTTTTTAAGCTCACCGCAATTCTAATTTTTTATTTTAAATCTTTTCAAAAAATATTGTCTAATATTTTTTTTTCAACAATACAGTCTCCTTATAGCTAGATATTACAATCATAATAAACATTAATTTGTAAAACATTAATGCAAATTTTACATATACAAAAGAAAAGCACAAAAAAATACAAGGCGAAGAATTTACATGAATCACCATACAAGCGGTTAATAAGATAATATTAACGCAGATATATTCTTATAAATTAAATTTTAACTACCATAATATTGTACATATATGCCTTCAAAGCTAACTAAATCTACATTGACTATGTAATTTTACATATATATATATATATATTATTAAAAATAACTACAAAACAATTTTCAATGGACTATCAAAAAACATAGATCATCTATCCAAATATATATAAAATCTGTACATCAATTTTCCCTTCTAAAAATTTAGTTAAAAAAATTTGAAAAAAAAAAAAAATAAAGTGCACCGAATTTAGAAAATGCCACTAGGACATTTCTTGAATGCGCATCTATAACAAATGTATAAATAATTTTCTAGCAAAATTGACCACCGATAAATATTTGGTTTCTCATAGTTTTTTAAAATTCAAATTCCTAACGTCGCCATGACCTGTCTTCTGTTTCTTCATCATCTTCATCTTCTTCCTGCAGAAGAGACTCCTCAAAAGCGATGTATTTCATTTGCTAGAAAGATTGAAGGTATTTTTGAAAATAAATATACTTCCATAAAAGTAAGAGCAAAGCAAATAAAGTAACCACAAAAGATACAAATAATATTAAGAAAAAAAAATGCATTTCCATTTATAACACGGGTCCACAAAGAAAAAGTTGTCTGTGTTGGGTGTGCAACATATGTTTCCTAATAATTTCTGTTGTTTCTTAGCCCTTTTTACCTTAAAAGGCTGAAGTTTCAAAGAAATGAATTTTTATTGAGTGTTTTTTTTGGATCTTTAACCTAAACAACTTCTTTTTTGTGGGCCTGTGTAATTTGTTGACCGAGCTAGCTTATAACACAATTTGATTTGTAAAATTTATATTGAAAGACAAAAATTATTGGCTTTAATCTTACCTCATTGTCACTTTCAGCGCCTCCCTGTAGCTCCAGATCGTTACCAGCTAGGTCATTAAAAAAGCTGTCGTCTATGTCCAATGAAGGATCACCAATATCATCATTCGAGTCTGTTTTGTTATTTGAATTTAGACTAGTTCTCTTAATTTTTGTATGGTTAACAGAATCAGAAGACTTTGCTTTGTCAGGTTTGTTGTTCTCTGAAATCCATGTCATCTGAAATAGAAAACAAATCATTCTTATAACAAAAGAATAACCGATGAGTTTGGAATTTAAATTAAATTGATTATTTGTGCACAAATAAATTAAATCATCATGCATGAGTATAAAAAAATTAAAATATAAATGTTTAAAAGAAATCCAAAGTCATTTGCCAAGTTAGAGTTTATCTAGCTTTATATTGTAAATCCGCATCATAGGTAACTGATGGATGAAATTTATTAATACCAAATGCACTTATTGTTAGACAAATGGACATGGATGGATATTTGAATTCATATTTCGCGCGGTTTTATCTATTACCAATGCAAAATAAAGCTTCTCCAATATGTAGCTTTGTTTATTTTCTGTATTACGTTTTTTTACCATTTTGGTATTTCGTCAAGACAACATACGGTCTAAATATATGAGCTTATTTTCTAAAGTGTTTGCTTTTCTTTGGTAATTATTATTCTTAACTGCCTTAAGTTATATTAAACGCAAAAATAACAATTTTTTTTATATAACTTCACGTTTCAAAGGTTTCTGAACATGTTGGCTACCTGAGAAAAATATGGACGCATGTGGTGTGTATGTATGTATGAGTGGATATAATTTTTCGGCGACGTTTTCGGGAGCAAGGATCAACCGATTTGAAAGCCTCAAAAAACATTCGATACGTGTTGACGTGTTGATTAGTTTTTGGAAAAGGCAGGTCTATCTAAGATTTCGCAGATACGGGGCAAAAGACGGCAAAAATGGCAATTCAGTTTTTGAGAGAACGGAGCGTCCGATTTCAATGATTTAAAAAACATTTCACTTATATTAACGGAATAAAGAATTGGTGACAATTTTGTGAAGGCAGGTCCAACAGTTTCCGGGATTAAGAAACAAAAGTTTAAAAATATGCCGTCTATTGGCCAAAAATTATCTTTAGAGACATAAGCACATCAAATTATCAGATATTTTATAGAGATTCAAGTTAGGTGCCTTATGTAAACATTGCTTAAATTAAGATTTGGTATAGAATTTTTCTGTATATATAATAGGATGTCTTGGCAAAATCCAAAAACAGAATAAAACTAGTTGTGTATGGCATCGTGCCTAAAGACAAATTACTGGAACTTTCCATACCGTAACGAAATGTTCGAGGAATAATAAATGTTTTGAAATAGATTATTATAAATACTATAACATTGTCTAATATTTATAAGAATTATAAAAACTGATTTACAAAGTTAAAATTATTTATTTAAAGTATATAAGTGAGCTTTAAAATCAATAGAATTGAAATCATATTGAAATATCATCAATACTGATGAAATTCCGCGCAAATGAATTCAAATATCTATACATTTATCTAGTACATATAAAATAATTAACTATATTAAAAGGTTAAGGCAAAAAGCAAAGCACATTATTTTAAAACAAACAAGTGAAACAAATATGTAGTATGATATGAAAAAAAAACTATTGATTCCATACATTGTAAATTCATATTCAATTTTGATTATGCTAACCATGTATAAAAAATTTTGATATATCACATATATTGAGAGCTATACTATTAATTTCAAATGCACATATATATCGGACCTATATACAAATTACTTACATTGGGCATTAATCATTGCCCAATTTTCAAAATATTGTACTCACAGACAGCAGCTTTTCCCTGAAGTGTTGTCCTCTCACCATGGCATGTTCCGCCTGGACTCTAATCGCAAAACGTACACTCAGGGCAGGTGTGGTGGGTTCTAATAAATATTCAGGAGACCTCTCCAAATTTCTGCACATGCAATTAGAAAAATACGATACCGCTTGTAAAGCGCGAACGTGCAGATATACATAAAAAACGTGCATATACTTTGTTTTGCTATAACATGGCATTTTATGTTAAATGTTTAAATATTAAAAGATAACCAATTGTGAAATTCTAATGAACAGTAATCAATCAAAAATTAATATGTAATGGAATATATTTATATATTATGAACATTCATATTAATTAATATAAAATTTAATATTTTGTGAATTAAAATGTACAATGAACCAACCCCTGAGGTTTTATATTCATATATAATATATTATCATATTCATTAATATACAGTGGTATACAGCTGCCAAAGATGCAATTCCTTGCTTTGACATATGAGCAAAATTCGAGATACGAGCCATGAGAGAGTAAGAATTTTCTCAAAAATAATCATGACAAAATATAAAGAATTTCATCAGTTGTAACAATGATTTTTCTACCATAGAAGAATTTTCGATGTGTTATTATAGAAAGTTATTTTATAGTTAGTCATTTCAATTAAATATTAATAATAATTGTGTAGTAACGATTTACCCACGCGAATATATCGCGGATTACTTTCATGTCCAAAAAAAGGGCCGTGTCTCTTAAAATAAAGCGTAAAATTATTAAAAAATGAAAGGATGGCAATGACGGCAATGAACAGAAAGAGTTGATGAAAAGGGTATAACTCCAGTTGAGGGTCTTACTATCTGAACTCTAAAAGATTGTAGATAAAAACCATCTCAAAAAGTTGCAACAGTTTATTTTGCAACTTTGCTAGATGATATACGGCATGATCGGTTTGTCATTGTAATTAGCATTTAGAAATAAACCATAGAGAAATGAAGTAATTGCTGATTAATAAATTCTATAATATTCATTCACACAGTGTATTATGTTAAACAGCGACTACATATTGTTGCCCTAGTTGGTAAATTTATTTTTAGTATTCAAAAACCACATTTCAATGTATTTATATGGAAAAAATCGCGAGATACAAGCAATTCGACATACGAGCGTGGTTGCGGTACGAAATAAACTTGTATGTCAGGGAACCACTGTATATAATCATATTCATATTCATTAATACATTATATGAATCAAAGTGTAAAGATGACAAGAACAATGCCATGATAAAATATACTCGGCAAGCAACACATAATATGTATTTCAAACAACATTAACATTAGTAAAAAAACACAAAATCAATGTAGCAATTAAACACACACAAAATGTAGCCATGAGTAGCAAATAAAAATCATTTCAATAAATTAAATAATAATAGTTATTAAGACATATATGCATAAATTTCTTCATCTAAACAAGATTTTCAGAATTTTTCATAACAAACCTTAAGGTGTTCAACAACATGATCAGCTTCGTCCCTTTCAAATCCAGTAACCAAAAGCTTAGTTGGGCGCCTATCAACACTTGTTACATGATGTGGCATCCTTCCAAGTGGACCTTTTGCACCTCCTCTATAACCGCCACGTCCTCTGGGGAAGCTAGCCTTAAGATATGGCACTTGAGCCTAAAAAAATTACAATATAAGTAAAACTTAGTTAACTTGGGTAACTTTATATTATAGTAGAATTTAACTTACTCTAAGTTCAACGACTTTTCTCTGCAATGCCGAAATATCGGCACCCGATTGCTGTTTAGTGAAGATCTCTAACTCAGCATCCAATATTTCTTTCTGTGCCTGTTCCTTAGTTAATTTATTTGGTTTTACCCCAGGCTTAGCACTTAGATTTGCAGATGCAGCAGGATTCGTAGTATTAATAATCGAATCCCGTGCGGCTTTTATTTCTGTTTGCAGCTTCTCAATCGATTCTTGTACCGTTTTAATTGTAGTCATAAGCATATCTCTCTGAGATTGATTCTCAGCTGCAAAATAATGTAAATAAATAGGGGAAATACAAACTGGTATATAACAAAATAAACGTATATTTGAAAATATACTAGTTTTAGTGAGGTTTCTGTGACTGTATAATGTGATGAAAACCATAATTACAATCCTGTCAGATGTTGGAGTATTCAGTTTAAATGTGCCTTCAAAAGTTTATTTTGAGAGTGGTTTTCTCATGTTTTCTGGGGACTTATATTGTTATTTGAAATTATTTCTATTAAAATCAATAAATTTATGCCATTACTAAAGATTTCGATCAATTTTATTGCAATAATTCAAATGACATAGTACCATTTCACAATCACTACAGGGTAGTTTATTTGAACCAAAAAAAAGAAAATTGAAACCTTGTAAAAGATGACTTTCTAACTTCCCACAGGGTAAAATTGCAAAAAAATCGAAAATGAAAATTTTTATATATCTTTACGTTTCAAGGGTGTCTGATGTATGTGTGGTGTGTGTGCGGATACAAATTTTCGTCGACGATTTCGGGAACACGGTTCAACCAATTTCCATTATTCAAAAAACATCCGATTGCTGTTGATACGGAGACGTCGTGATTAGTTTTTGGCAAAGGCAGGTCTAGCCGTTTCAAAGATACGGGGCAAAAAGTGCCACAAACGGTAACTCAGTTTTTAAGAGAACGGAGCATACGATTTTGATAATTCAAAAAACATTTTACTTGATTGACAAGATAAACTGTTTAAATTTTCATGGAGGTCTAGCGGTTTCGGAGTTCTAGTGAAAAAAGTAAAAAAAAAAGCCATTTGGCGGTCAAAAATTATCATTAGACATATGTACATAAAATTATCAGATATTTTATACAGATTTTGGCAATAAGTATAAATATTGTTTACATTCCTATGGGTTCCGTACCAATGTTTATCCGTTAGACGGCGACGCGATGTTTACACGCTTCGATATTTCGTTTTTTTCGTATCATTTTTTTTTCAAAAAAAAGTAAATTTATTATTTTTCAAAAATCTAATTTTTTCAAAGTAATTTTTTTTACAAAAATGTTATCTTTTTAAAAAAATAATTTTTGGTATGGGAAGTTCCAGCAAATTGCCTTAAGGCACAATGCTATGCGCCCCACTAGTTGCTTTTAACTTTTACTCAAACTGCTCCTAAGGAAGGACCAAAGAATCCACAGTTTAAAATAAGACTTGCATTTATTGCAGGGACCTCTTTTTCCATTTGAATCCAGCAAAAGCTGGTCATAATGTATATTTTTCTCCTAAATAAGGGTCATGCTTTTTGTGTTGTTCCAAATGATTTATTTGTAAACTATTTCCTTTAAACTATTTCCTTAAAAATGAGCAGTATGTTCTTATCCTAAATGTTATTTTATCCAAACTATATGGACAAAATTTTTGAAACTAGTTGCATTTTTCCATTTCTTACTTCATTAGAAGTACCATCTTACTGGTAGTCAAAGAACCAAACATGAGTAAAAATGAGTACTTTTACCTATGATTGTAATTTGAATATAGATTACTAAATTAAAAATCCAATATACCTTTTTCTAATCTTTCTATTAACAGCCTTTGCTGTTTCAGTTGGCCTTGTAAAAGATCTTGCTTACGTTTTGATAGCCCCTTTGCTATTGCTAAAGCCTCTTTTCGACTTTCCTATTAAATTAAAAGAATTGTTAATTTAATTCCAAAAACTTTATATTCTAAAAATTACTGTATCATTTTCTGCATACCTCTTTCTTTTTCCTAAGAGCGTGCTGTGCAGCCAATGCTGCTTGGTTTTTTTGTATAGCCGAAATAGCTTGAGCCTTTGCATCCGTAGCAGGAGCTCCACCAGCTTCACCTCTATTGGCAGTAGGATGCGTAGTTGGAGGAAAAGCAGCACCACCACCAGTGGCTGTTGCCGCAGTATCTTTAACGGTTACAGCTGCAGCAAATGGCGAGTTGGGCTGGCCGACAGCACCACCACCTGAAATAATAGTTATTTCTATTTATTTTCAGTTCTATTTCGAAGTTAATTTTATTTCATTATAAATAAGAGATTACCTGTATTATCTTTAATCATCTGTCGATTATGTGTCATACCAGGCATGGGATGAAAAGCTTGAATTGGCGGCACAGTTTGCTCATTCTTCGTCTAAATAATAAATACATTTGTGATTAAAATCGTAATGAATTTATTAATTCAATATCAAAGAAATTTGATATCAAAACTATGTATAAAAACCAAATTTAACCCTTTCCGCTCAGCAACGATTCGGGCGTTATCTATCAGCAAGTCGGCGCCGCATTCTGACAAAACTAAAAATGAGCAACCTTATTACTATTTTACAAAGCTTGATATTACCATAATGTTTATATACTAATAAACATTATGGTATTATAAATATTCTTTGGGCCACGAGTTGCTCATTCTTGATCTATTCTATTCCACACTTCTATACAAAGTGAGTCATTTTGTATACAAACTGCCAAGTGCCTCACAGGAGGCAGCCGAGTGATAAGCCAGACTTACATTGTCTCCAAAAGGAGACAGCCGAGCACAAAGGGTTTACCAAAAAAACGTGACCAACCTCTGGATTATGCCAGAAGACTTTTATAAATCTATTATTTAGCACTGCTTCAGTGCTTCTATATGCAGCATTAGCTTCAGCATGGGTTGAAAACGTCACTATTGCTCCTTCTGGATCTCCTTCATAAGATATCTGACAAAAAATATTCAAAAAATCATTGTAGAGTTAGCACAAAAACCTATTAAATATCATATAATAACTACACACCTGAATATTAACTATTTTTCCAAATCTGGAAAAATGATTATTTAAGTGTTCAATTGTGTTTAGACCCCTGGGAACTTTCTTCAGTTCTAAAGCACTACTGGGCCTCATAGCACCGCGTGGAGGTCCTAAACGATTGAAGTCGAACTGCCCTTTCCTCTTTGGCAAGCTTTCAATCGACTGAAAATAAAAACTATTAAGTGACATTTTTCCTTAGGATAAGTTAATTGAACTTCCCGACATGTTCAAATAATCTACTCAATCAATAAGAAATCAATAGATTAATTCATGATTGATTTGTAAGTATGCCGAGTTGCTGTAGGGCGACATAATGTAAGAAACGACAACAGGTTATTTAATATTGTACGCCGAATACGTGCCTAATACATACACGCCGTATTTTCTAAAGTGCGGCTGATTGATTCAAATTTTCATTAATTTTTATAATTGAACCACTGTTTATAGGTCCGTAAAATATTAGTACGTTCTTTAAGACCATGATTCTTTGTCGCCAAAAAACGTTTCATAAAAAACGTCGAAAATTTTTTTTCAACAGTGAATTATGAAGACACGCCCGGCCGATCAGCACGATTATCAATCAATGTCTTTCGTTTGAATTTTTAAGATCGGATTGTGGGCTAAAACGTGGACGATAGGCTTTACACTTTTTTGCTAATTATAAAGAAACGGCCCGGCCGGTCGCCGCGTAAATTTAATCAAAGCAAGTCCTTATCAAGTTATACTGAATGGCTTAAACTTTTTGAAAACGGTCCAGCCGTTTTTGAGAAAATTCGATTTAAGGCAAAATATCTGTTCACACATACACACACACACTTTTTCCAAATTTGGTCTCATTCAATTCAGAATGGCTTTAAGGGGGTCTTCCTATGTGATGAGTTGAAAAAATCGAATTTTTTTTATTTATATTTCGGTAGATTACACCTTTAAAAATAACATATTAAAATTTCAAATCGATATATCAAATAATTTTTGAGTTACAGCCATTTAAAAAGTATACATATAGTATATAGACAACAATCATTTTATCTTTAAACGCGTTTTTCTCAAAACTGTGTTTTTCAAACTTTCCTCCATTGTATCTCAGAAACGGCTGGACCAAATTACTTGAAATTTACAGGGCGCACTCAATATATTTAAACGCATGGAATGAACTATTATCAATCGAAAATTTTCAAAACTTCGATTTTTATAGCAAAAAACAAAAAAAAAAACGCCTAATTTGCAACTTTTATTTCAAATGTCTATCAAGAATCCAATTTTTTTTATATTCATTTGATTATAGGTCATTCCGTGCTTTTAAGCCTACAAATTAAAACGCCGTTTTTTTTTTTTTCGGATAAGCCGATCAGCCGGAATCGTGGAGGAAGTGGGAGCTCTTTTTTTCGAGGCGGGGGTGTTCAGAGCGCTGTAACTCTAGTTTGACTGAATATTTTTAGCTGAAATTTTATATTTATACTGTCCAAATATGTGTTAATAAATGATAAAAAACTTGAAGCTCTAAATATTTACTGGTCGTACAAAAAAAATCCTAAAATATCCCTAAAAAACAGGCAGTCACATAGAAAGACCCCCTTAAACCTCGAGAAAACAAAATTAGCGAATAGGATTTTTTTTATAAAAACAAACTTCTTCTTCAGGAAGTTGAAAATAAACTTATTTTCAGTTCTATTTACCTCCGCCTCTATTGCTCGCTTTGGTCCCCTACTACCACCTACTTCACCTCCAGCCCTGCTGACGTCGTCAACTACAGGCACAGCTATTAGTTCTCTTGTTGGTGGTGGCGGTGGTCTCGGTCCTCCATAGGCAAATGGTGGAGCTGGACCTCCAAACATATGAGGTGGTGGGTGAGTAGCACCATGAGGTGGGTAGCGAGGGCCGCCTTGGCGAATGAAGGGAGCGGCGGGGGGTGGTGGAGGAGCGTTACGTGGTGGTTGTCCTGGATGCCACATTGCAGGGGCGTCAGGATTATATTCTGAAATAAAAAAGAAAACATTTCAAATATTGTCAAATAAAACTAATTATTTATAGTAGGTATTCAATTATACTTTAAAAAAATTGCATGCATAGTAATGTTTTTATATAATAACTAACCAGAGTGAGGTGGCGGTGCTATCCTTGGTAGAACTGGCTGTTGTGGAGGCGGCGGAGGAACAGTTCCAGGTACTGGTACGGACACATCTGTATTTGTACTAGGCGCAAATCCAGCTAATACTCCTGGCAGGTTAACATCCTGGAGTATCACAGGATCAACTCCGTGATCATATGGACACAAGTCTCCCTTCATACAGTAGCCTTTCTCTAACAGATTCGGAATTAATTGCAACCTTCGTATGTTTGTTTTAAAATTGAAACAACTGATATCATTATGAAAAACAAATGTTTAATACTAACCGTCATAGTCTCTACACCGTTGACTCAACGATTTTAATGGAACTACTGACTGAATTGATTGAGCAGTGCTACCTAAACGCAAGTCTGGTTCACCATGATTAGAATCCTGAGTAGGAGTTGCTGAAATGCAAACAAATGTCAACTAAGTAACTATTTAATACAAAATTTCATCTTACTTATGAACAACTGAGTAAAATTATATAGAGATAACTAAATTACTGAGTAAATCATCTTATAAAGGCATCAAAATACAATGGTACCTCAACGTGCCACACTTTTGAATATTAAAAATAAATTTACTATTTTTTAGTTTAACCCTGTCGACTCGGATTCATATTCATATGAATCTCGGAATTCGCGAGTGGAAAATGTTAATTATTGTTTTTTCCTATCATTGATGATATTACAGTAATGAGTTGACATCATACATCCTCCCAATTCTTGTATTTAAAAAAAAAAAATTAAGTTTCAATTCCAGAGACATGACCCCTTTTTTTTAGACCCGTAGTTATAAAAATAAATAAAGCAATAATATTCTGTAAATGTACAAAAATTAAAAAAGAACTAGCACATACAACTGTACACTATTAATTCGTAGTTAAAATTTCAAATATTGAAATAATGCTCAATATATTCACGTGGGTAAATTATTACTACACAACTAACAAACTGAAATTAATAACTATAAATATAAGAAATAATTTAGTATCTTAAAACAGCCAAATTATTTCTATGATAGGATAATCATTGTTAGAAATGACAAAATTTTTCATATTTTCATTTTGGCATTAACATTTTTCTAGAAAACACTTACTTACTCAAGTGACTATCCCAAATTTAGAAGTTGTTCGAAACAAGAAATCAACACTTATACATTGGTACGCCGACTTACGAGCGAACTGATATGTTTTTTCTTTAATACAACTAACCTGGCCCAGAAAGCAAATCTCTATCCGTAGTCCTACTTCGACTCCTACTTCTTGTTCGCGATCTTGAATTTCTGTCATCTCTAGGTTTTGAATGCCTCGATCTCAGCGGAGGTGACGGACTTCTATTTCTATATCTGTTACCAGACCTGGACCTGTTATTCCCTGATAAACGACCTCCTCGTGGGGGAGGACTGGGTCGATATCTACGTGAGGGGGGTGCGTGCCCTGTTGCCCCGATTGTTGGAGGAGATTTGTTTCTCCATTGACGGGATTTGTCGCGTTCTCTTCTGGGAAAAAGGATGCATTACTTTATAATATATAAGAGAAATTTAAATACTCAAAATAACCACTAATTTTTGTGATTAATATTTCACACATCTTCATTATATGAATTGCATATTTTGAACAAATGTAAATACCTGTCACGTGATCTGGATCTCCTTGATCTTTCCCAAGATCGAGATCTCGACCTTGTTCTAGATCTGTGTCTTCTACGGTCGTCTCGTTCCTAAAATAAAAAAATGTTAATTATATTTATATTTGGCTTGCACCGAATATTCGGTATACGGTCTTTCGAACATGCCGAACATTCGGTATTCGGCATTTTGCCGAATATACTATTCGTTGCAAGTCTAATAAAAATATATATATAATTTAAATCATAAAACGTATTAATTTTACCGTTTCATTTTTCCGGGAATCCCGTTCTTTCTTTATTGAACCATTTATATAATCTGTATTTAATGAGACTGCGTCCCTGTAAAAGAATCACTCGTAAGTACAGGTATCACTCTAACTACATTACTATTATAGTAATAAAATTTGAATTTAAAAAAAAATCACATAACTTACTTTTCTTTAGATGTTTCCCTTTCTTTCTTAATTACAATAGTATTTATTGAATGCTGTAAAATATCTTTACGTATTGAGGGGGATATTTTATTTACATTTTTTTGTTCGGTAACCTTAGCGAGCTGAAACATAGAAAATTTGATGATCAACTGTGCAAGATTTCTCAATAAATTAATTTATCTTATTTGAAATGTACAGATTTTTGTTTATTAATCCGTTCATTACCTGATTGGAAGCTTTATCCTGATTCGTAGGCGTGGGTGACGCTGGACTAGTCTCTCGAGGTGGCGTGGCCGCTTCTATTGTTGACGCGACTGGTGATGGAACTGAAGAACCCGAGCTAGAAATCTTTATAGGCGACAATTTTTCCTCTTTTATCGTCACCACATCAGGTGAAGGCAACCGAAAGTCTTGTGTCTCGAGTGTTCTCATTAACTTTTCCACGAATGGCTTTGTACCTGTGTAAAAGAAATAAAATGTAGAGCTGATTTGTAAATAAAATTAAAGATTTTGAGATTAAAAATTGTTTTGGCAATATTCTCCAAAAAGTATCAGGTTGGCTTCTAAGCAAGTGTGGATTTTTGTTAGAAAATCAAAAACATTTTAATTACTGACTTTTTTTTGTCAACTTTCAAACAGAATCGTTAAACCACTCTCATAAAACTTCTGATTTTCATTAGCAAAAAACTGCATCAGGTACAATTTGACACCACTATAATGATTGAATTGATCGCAAATGAAGGAATTTTGTAAAGATACAAAAAGTAATCAGAACGTATTATATGGTGGATGTTGCAAAACATCCCACAACCAAGCTCTAATAATTTTTTCCGAATGGCCAAAGATTTGTGGTATCGATAATGAAATGAAAAAAAAAACAATCAGAATTGATCGTTCGGTTAATAACAGACAATACCCCTACTACTACTAATAACTATCAGAAACGATACCTTTGTAATCAACTTCAAATGAAAGACGCATAACTGTTTGAGCTTAAGATGTCTTTTTACAAAAGCAGATATTAACAACCAAGAGATCAAAAATTTTCGATTTTCCTGTTTCAATAAACTGTTTGGTAGAATTATGTTACTTTCAAGTCACATCGGCCTATAATGTTAGCACTTCTGTGTATAAAAATGTCATTGCAGGTTAAAAGCCTAGCAAAGCTCATAAATATTGAAATTGGTTGTCTTGACAACGTTATAGGGTTTAGATTTATGCGTCATCTAACAAAAAAAAACAACTAGTGGAGTGTATGGCATCGTGCCTTAAGGCAAATTGCTGGAACTTCCCGTACCGTAACGAAATGTTCGAGAAATACTGAATGTTTTCAAATTTCGATTATTATTAATATTGTAACATTGTCTCATATTTATAGGAATTATATAAACTGAATTGCAAAGTTGAAATTATTTGTTTAAAGTATACTAGAACTATAGTCAGAATTAAAAATAAAATCTGAATTATTTTCGATATACAAAAAAAAATTTTTTTTGAAAAAAAAAAGAAAGTTGAAACAATTTTTTTTTTTCTAAAATCAATTATTTTGTTAAGACAAGCAGGAAGTTTTTTGAATCATTTAAATCGGACGCTTAGTTCTCTCAAAAACGGCCATTTTTTACACATTTAGCTCCGAATCTTCAAAATGGGGCCTGCCTTTGCCAAAAACCAATATACACTTCTTCCAATCATTACTTTACTCCAATCTTTACGTTTTTTAGATCATTCAAATCGGATTCACCGTTCTCTCAAAAACTCGATTTCTATTTTCTGCACTTTTTGCTCTTTATCTCCGTAACTGCTGGACCTGCCTTTGCCAAAAACTAATCAGCTCATCTCTCTATCAATAGGAATCGAATATTTTTTAAACCATTCAAATCGGTTGATCCGTGCGCCCGAAAACGTGACTGGAAATTTGTATCCATACATACATACATACACACACACATCCATTTTTTCTGAGGTATGCCAAAATGTTCAGAAACCTTCAAAACGTCGAGAAATGTAAAAATTTTCAATTTCTATTTTCAGCCCATTACAATAACTTACCCTACGGGAAGTTAATATTTGGTAAAACGTTGAAAAATTTGCAATGTGATCTGAAAGTTACGTAGGGTCAGGTCATATAATTTTATATATTATAATCCTGTTTGAAAGATATCAGTTGGAAATCGCACTGACTAGTTTTTGGTGAAAGTGAAAACCTATAATTTACCTATCGAGAAGCTTATGAAACTTGCCTTAAAGCAAAATGCCACTTACAACTAGAATCAAAATTATTTATAACAATATGCTTATGTGAAAGCATAGTTTTGATATGACAAGTACTGACAATTAATAGATGGAATATATAACAAGTATGCAAAAATCTCAAAACATGTCGATGCCAGCAATGTATGTTGTCATCAAAATTATTCATCTCACTCATCGTCAATTATCGACGCATTTCATTGACACATTTTATGGGCAAAACTGAACAAGTATATGCTTGTGGCATTTCAGAAATATTCGAAATGACAACGAAACCATCTGTATTTGTCATAGAAATTTTATAACGTGAGTAATATATTGGAACATTTAGACTTTTGTCTAACCAGGTTATTATTAAAGACACAAGGCGACGAAGCCTAAAAATAAAGCACCCCCTCGATGAATTCAGTCATTGACAACATATGTTCATACAATTACATATTTTAATTACAATTGTTTTTTGTTTTAATTTGATATTTATTATATTTGCATATATTATTCAGAATTTATTATTGTAACTTAAATTAGTTTATAAAAATTGATAAAGGCCTACTACTAGCGTGCAACCTTTCAAAAGTACAATTTGATAATTAACATATATCTGTAATATAAAATAGCTGTTCTTTGTAGACTAGATATTACTATCTAGTTTTAACCCTTTCGAGTGTTTTCGCAAGAGTGACACTGCTATACGGAAAAACAAGCCGCCCAATCTGTTCACATACACACACACACACCCACACACGCACATACTTCTTTCAAATTTAGTCTCAGTCGATTCAGAATGGCTTGAAACGTCGAGAAAACATAACATGGGATTTTTTTTATGAAAACATGAACTTCTCCTTCGGGAAGTTATAAATTACACCTCTAAAGATCTTGAAATTATAATAAAAAATTAGAATTCTCATTTATGAGATAATGAGTTTAAAATTTAAATTTTTAACTGATCTTTTTTTTTATAAAATATTAAGGTGGCCAAAAGTAGTTTCGAATCCAAAAATTATATAAGAAAAATCAGGATTATAGACCTGTAGGAAGTGTTTAGTTATAAAAGTTTGGAAAAGTAGGATGTGTGTTAGAAAAATGGTACTCGTAACAATCAGGCTTATTTTATCAGGCTCAAAACAAGTAATTTCCACCAAAGAAATTGTTTTCCAAAAAACACGATCCAAAATCCAAATTTGCATTCATATACATATATCTCATTCACGAAGATTAAAAAAATTGCCGTAAGATAAAAAATAAAATGCTAAAAAAAGAAGATCTCATTGGAGATAAACTCTTTAAAAGCATAAAGACCAGCACTTTGTTTCAAAAAATAATGTATATTTTGATTGACAATACCAAAAAAAAAATTAAAAAATATACACATCATTGAAATTAAAATGTGTCCAAATAAATTAATACAAGAAATTAATACAAGAAAGAATGCCTCAAAAAATTATCCAAATTGGTTTATCCTTAAAAATGTCGACATCAGCAGTGTAATCCATGAAATACAAACTCATTCAGTCAAGTACAAAAGCAGCCTCGAAGATCACTCAAACCAGAAAACCCCGAACATCACCAGGACCAGATTTAGAAGAAAGTTCTTTATACATTAATCTCTCTCAATTCCGAAATCACAGACAATAGTCAGAAGAATTTGTATTTTTAAAACCTATTTCTATTCCTTTTTGAGGAATAACTCAAAAGCATGAAATTAAGGAATTGGATTATCTGCCAAAAACCAAACTTTTCTGAGAAATTAAAATAACATCATACAAATGTTCAATACATACTTGCTAGGACAAGAAAAATCTGCCGAAAATTGATAAACAGCCAATTAAACATTTCCGATAACACACTGCCGGAATAAAATGCTAAACAAATAATATACACATTTCAATTAGTAGTTAAAATAATAAACTATTTATAAATACTACGATTAATACTGTTTAATGTTTTTGATCAAGCATAAATGGAATGTCTAAACAATTTCCGACAACACTGTCGGGATAAAATGCTTAACAATTAATGTATAAAATGTTTTTCAATTAGCAATTAGAACAAAGAATTCTATATTTATAAATATTACAATTATTAATGTTTAATATTTTTGATCCCGATAAATGGAATGTCAATCTTAATAATTTCCGACAACACCACTGGTGGAATAAAATGCTAAACAATTTATATACAAAATCAATTAGCAGTTGAAATAATAAACTCTATATTTATAAATACTACGATTAATGTAGTTTAATGTTTTTGATCAGGCATAACTGGAATTTCTGAACTAAAAATATTTGCATTCCAGAATTAAAAACATAAAATTAATAATAGAAAATTCATCTGCGTCTGTACAATAACAATTAATATCATGCGAAGAATTATGTTATTGTTAGTTTATATTTCTAGGTATTCTTGCAAAATACATTTGGAAATTCTATTTTTAAACTCTTAAGAGATTTTTATGTTAAATTTTTATCCTAATAATAGCAAAATGATGATCATAACTTTATAAAAATTAGAAAAAAAAACGCTACATTGAATATGGATTGAATTAACTTTTGGAACTTCCAAAAATTACTAGACTTTGTTTTTTTTTCAAAGCATGGTAGAAACTAGGGAATGCAATACCGATAAAAAGTGTCCATACCGGTATTTCGGTATTTCCGTTTCAAAAACCGGTAAAATACCGGTATTAATATTTTGAAAAATGTGAACAAAATTGGAAGTTTGACCAAGAAAAATAATAACATACTATAATTGCTGAGTATTTTTCATTTAGAAGAACATAATGGTTCTCTACTATTTTTAAAATGCCACACTTTTGTCAAAAAATAATATTTATAATCGTTTAGTCTTTTTTAATTTCCCGTGGGGTACTTATAGTAATGGGACGAAAATCGAAAATGAAAATTTTTGCATATCTTCACGTTTTGAAGGTTTCTGAACATTTTGGCATACCTCAGAAAAAATGGATGTGTGTGTGAAAATGAAATTTTTTATAAATATTTACGTGTGAAAATGAAATTTTTTATTTATATTTACGTTTTAAAGGTTTCTGAACATTTTGGCATTCTTTAGAAAAAATTGATGTATGTGTATGTTTGTGTGTGTGTATGTGTGTGTGTAATTTTCGTTGACGATTTCGGGAACACTGATCAACCGATTTGAATAATTCAAAAACATTCGATTCGTATTGATAAGGAGACGTGCTGATTAGTTTTTGGCAAAGGCAGTTCTAGCCGTTCCGAAGATATGGAGCAAAAAGTGCCAAAAACGGTAACTCAGTTTTTGAGAGAGCGGAGTCGTCGATTTTAATAATTCAAAAAACATTTTACTTGTATTGACAAGATGAAGAACTGATTAAATTTTTGGGAAGGCAGGTCTAGTAAAAAAAAAAGTAAAAAAAAATCCACTTCGCGGTCAAAAATGATCATTAGACATACGCACATCAAATTGAGATTTTAATAATGTGTATCAATTTTGTTTACATTTCTATGGGTTCCGTAACATCGTTTGTCCATTAGACGGCGACGCGGCGCTTACGCGCTTTGATATTGCTTCTCTATGCAGCTAAAGCAGTGCGATATTTCAAAATAAAAAAAAATCTTCACTTTTTTTCAAAAAATTGAAATTTCTCAAAAATCTAATTTTTCAAAAATTAAAAAAAAATTAATCTCTTCTAAAAAAAATAATGTTTGGTACGGGAAGTTCCAGCAATTTGTCTTAAGGTACGATGCCATGCTCCACGAGTTTTATTATACATATCTCAAAAACAGGGATTGCCGGCATTAAAATAAAATTTAAACCATGTCCTTCTATCATAAAAAGCTAAAGCAAAGAATAAGATTTTCATTACTACTTCATTACTACTTCATTTATGATAATTTCATTCATTCATATTTTCTATATATTTTACTATTGTTGATAAAAGTACGTTCAACGTATTGTAGTATTCAACTAATAACATGGTGTAGTGAAAGATAACTGAACGTGTTATGAATAAAAATTCTTTTTATATCAGTATAATTATCATATCTGTATGTGCATGTGATGTGTTTATAAATATATTAATTGTTAAATAGATCACAAAATGAACTATTATGAATAATTTGTAAAATATTTATGTACTGTGAACTCTTACTCCAGATAATTTATCTCAATGAGATACGTTTACTAATGAGTATTTATAAACATATATTATCCATACATATTAGGTTAGTCCTTAATATGGATATTTTCGAATTTCCTTGCTCCCAGGGCCTCAAATGATTCAAAACTGTTAAAGAAAAAATCTCTGAAATTTTAGCTCTTAATATTAACTTTAAGATAGTACTCACTCCAACTAAAGTTTCGTGGTTCCTCTTCCTAAGTAAATACTGTTTATAAACTATATAAAGTTTTTGTTGTAATTTTTTTATTTATGATCAAAATAAGAAAATACAATCTAAAAATTTTGATTCACTTGCCGCTAAGTTGTAAAATTCTAAAGAACAAATGGAATTTCACCCATGTTATTTCCATAAGAAACTTTGTTAATAAAAAAAATTGTAAAACTTTCAGAGAATTTTTTTTTAATAATTTGGAAACATTTGAGCCCGCGGGGAGCAAACAAATTCGAAAAATACAATATATAGACCTGCCCTAAGGCAGTACTATCCCCTGTTTTTTTAATTTATTTATTAATTTATTCTTATTGAAATAAAACTGAGCATGCATTCAATATATTTATTCATTCATTTCCAAATTGCTACACAGTAAAAATACAGACCATTATTTTATACTGTACAAATAGTTCTACAGAGGATTCTACTGAACAATAAATTATTTTCTTTACCTGTTTGTAAAAATACATCTAGCTGATCAAGCATTGATTCCCTAAGTTCACTCTCAGTACGATCCTTTTTACAAAGAGCGTATACATATTTGGCAAGAGCACTGGGATCAGCATCACAACTGGAAAAAAAAATTAACAATAATTAACAAAATTTGGAACAATCATGTCATGATTTTTTTTTCAATTTCAACAAAGATATATTTCAATATATAAAATTCGTAATTAAATTACATTTTATATAATGAGTTTATTGCCGAAGGGTATCATACTATAATGCAGTCTTTCACAAAGTGGGGGATTGTAATTTCCAGGGGGGCGATAAGAGGCCCCTAACTAATTTTTTTTACATGCAAGGTTACATCAACTAATATAGCTCACTATAACTATATTAGTAAAATTAAAAAAAAAAAAGTTTTTTTAGAGTCTATATAGATATAACAAATTTGGTAGGGGGGCGCGGTACAAAAATTTTGATCATCAAAGAGGGCATTGGAAGATGTAAGTTTGAGAAACGCTGCTATAATGTTATGAGAGCTATGGTAAATATTATAATATATTCTGTAATAGCATTTATTTAAACATTATTAATTGAGACCTCATTTCAAAGGCAAATCTTTCAAGAAATATATAAAATATTAAAATTTAACACATTTAACAAAATTTTTATCTCATTTGATTTTAGTATAAAAATTCTATTTAAAATCAATGATTATAATAAATATTAAGAGCATTCAAATTAAAAAAGCATTCAATTAAGTTAAGTTTAGTATCTAAAGATATTTCAATTCACAAAAAAAGTATCATTTGAATATAGAACAAGTAAAGTTTCTTACGATTATCTGAGCAGAAAATAATTTTAGAATATAACTATTAAGAGAAAAAAAAATAGAATACAGCTATTTAAGAGTAAACAATTATTGGAATAAAGCTAATTAAGGTGAAAAAATTATTGGAATGAAGCTATTTAAAGAAAAAAAATATTGGTACGAAGCTATTTAACGAGGGAAATTATAAGAATATTTATTTATTTATTCATAAGCAAGCCGTAATCAATAATAATAGATATTATTTCAGGCTCTTGTCAAGATTATTTGTTTTATTGATTATTAGATTATTGCTGTTTGAAGGAAAAAAATATTGGTATAAAGTTATTTTAAAAGAGAGGATTTTAATATGAATTATTTAAGGGGAAAACAATGGTTGCAATAAAGCTATTTAAGGAAAAAATTTATTAGACTATAGATATTTAGGTAGAAAAAATTGGAATTAAACAATTTAAATTAAAGAAATTTTTGGTATCAAGCTATTGAAAAGGTGAAATTATAGGAATATTGCTGTTGAAGAAAAAAATATTGGTATAAAGTTATTTTAAAGAAGAAGATTTTCGTATGAGTTATTGAAGGGGAAAACAATGGTTGCAATTAAGTTATTAAAGGGGAAAATGTATTAGACTATAGAGCTATTTAGGTAGAAAAAATTGGAATGAAACAATTTAAATGAAAGAAATATTGGTATAAAGCTGTTGAAAAGGTAAAATTATAGGAATATGGCGGTTTGAAAAAAAAACGGTTGGTATAAAGCTATTTAAAGGGAAGAATGTGAGTATAAAGCTATTTAAAGAAAAACAATGGTTAAAATAAAGCTCTTTAAGAGGAAAATGTATTGAACTATAGCTATTTAAGAAGAAAAAAATGGAATGAAGCTATTTAAAGCAAAGACATTTTTGTATAAAGCTATTTAAGGGCGAAAATTATAGGAATAATGCCGTTTGAAGAAAAAACAGTTGGTATAAAGTTATTTAGAGGAAAGGATTTAATGAAAAATTGTTAACAGCTAATCAAGGGAAAAATGTATTGGACTTTACATTTGAATGAAGCTACTTAACGGGTAGTAATATCGGTATAAAGCTTTTTAAAAAGAAGGATTTTAGTATAAAGCTGTTTAAGGAAAAAATGATTAAAATAAACTATTTAAGGGCAAAAATGTATTAGACTTTACATTGGAATGAGGCTATTTAAAGGAAAGAAATATCGGTATAAAACTATTCAAATAGGGAATATCAGTATTAAGCTATTGAAGGGGGAAAATTGTTGAAATGCAGCTATTTAAAGGGTAAAATTGAACTAAAACTATTTAAGAAGAAAAAATTATTTGATTGAAGCTTTTCAGGGGAAAGAAATAGTGATATAAAGCTTAAGAGGCATAATTATAGGTACATGACTATTTAAGAAAAACAATATTTATCGGTATATAGCTATTTAAAAAACGTGACATTAGTATAAAGCTTTTCAAGAACAAAAAAGTTGAAATAAAGCTATTTGAGAGATTGCTGGACTGAAGCTATTTAAAAAAAAAATTATTTGAATAAAGCTTTTCAAAGGAAATAAATACAGGTATGTGACTATTTGAGGAAAAAAAATTGGTATATATATTTAAAAAAATAACTATTTAAAAAAAGGAGACATTAGTACAAAGCTATTCAAGGAGAAAAATGTTAAAATAAAGCTATTTAAGGCGGGAAAATTAGTAGGCCAAAGCTATTTAAGGGCTATTTTAAGCTATTTTTAAAATTATTGAAATAGGGCTATATGAGTAAACAGATATTGGTATAGTACTAGTTAAAAAGAAGACATTAGTATAAAGCTATTTAAGAGAAAAAACATTGAAATAAAGCTATATAAGGCGAGGAAAAGTATTAGACCAAAGCTATTTCAGGAGAAAAAATATTGGTATGAAACTGTTTAAAGTAAAAAAAATATTGATATAAAGCTATTTAGAAAAAAATATAGGAACATGGCTATTTGAAGAAACAAATATTGGTGTAGTGCTATTTAAAAAGAGAGGGAGATTAGAATAAAGCCATTTAAGAAGAAAATATTGCTGAAATAAAGCTATTTAGGATAAAAAGCTATTGAATTAAACCTATTTAAAGAGATAATAATGTGGAATGAAGCTTTTCAAAGAAAAGAAATAGTCATATGAAACTATTTAAGGGGAAAAATGATAAGAATAGGGCTATTTGAAGAAAAAATATTGGTATAAAGCTAATTAAAGGGAGGGACATTAGTATAAAGCTATTTAAAGAGGAAAAATGGTAGTATAAAGCCATTTGAGGAGGAGTTTAGGACAAAAAGATATTGAACTAAAGCTATTTAAGAAGATAAAATGATTAAAATGAAGCAATTCAAAGCGAAGAAATATTGATATGAAGCTATTTAAAAAAAAATAATGATAATAATGGGGCTATTTGAAGAAAAGATTATTTGTATAGTTATCTAAGGAGGAAATACTACTGAAAAACTATTTAAAATAAAAAGTTATTGGACTAAAACTATTTAAAGATAAAATGTTATTGAACTAAACCTATAAGGAGATAGAATTAATGGAATGAAGCTATTCAAAGGTTAGAAATATTGATACAGAGCTATTTAAGAGGAAAAATTATAAGAATAGGGCTATTTGAAGAAAAAATTATTGGTATAAAGGTATTCAGAGGGGAAACATTAGTATAAAGGTATTTGAGGGGAAAAAATGTTGAAATAAAACTATGTAAGAGGAAAAATTTGTTGGACTAACGCTATTTAAGAAGATATAATTATTGGAATGAATCTATTCAGAGGGAAAAAATATTGATATAAAGCTATTTAATGAAAAAAAGGCTGAAGAAAAAAACTATTGGTATAAAGCTATTTCAGGGAAAAAATTGTTAAAATGAAGCTATTCAAAGGCAAGAAATATTGATATAGGGATATTTGAGAGAAAAAAATTATAAGAATAGGGCTATATTTGAAGAAAAAATTATTATTATAAAGCTATTTAAAGAGAGGATATTAGTATAAATCTATTTCGGTGGTAAAACTGTTCAAATATAGCTGTTTATGAGTAAAAATTTGGTAGACTAAAGCTATTTAAAGAGAAAAAATTATTGGAATAAAGCTATTCAGAGGAAAGAAATATTGATATGAAGCTATTTAATGAAAAAAGGGCTGTTTGGAGAGAGAGGAAAATGGGTATAAAGCTATTTAAAGAAGGGATGTTAGCATATTTCAGGCGCGAAATTGTTGAAATAAAGCTGTTTATGGGGTAAAATTTGTTAGACTAATGCTATTTAAAAAAAAATATATATTGGAATAAAGCTATTCAAAGGTAACAAATATTGATATAAAGCTATTTAAGAGGAAAAATTATAAGAATAGGGCTATTTGAAAAAAAAAATATTGGTATAAAGGTATTCAAAGGTTATGAAAATATATATTTTAGAAACAATTTTCAACTTTATAAGAATGTTATCTATAATTTCATTTGCAACAATGATTTTTTCAATTGGTTATTTTCTACTAGCAGACCTTATTTTAATCTTGAAATATATATTATAAAATTTATATTATTGAACGATTACGAAGTACTTTAGCATATTAGTTAATTAAATTTTCAAGGATCTCCCAGATATCAAAAACACTCCGCGTAGGCGGTAAAAATATTTATAGAAGTTATTCTAGAAAATTCTACATACAAACTAAGATACATTTTTATAATTTAAACAAGCTTCGGTGGTTCTGATGTAGATTTTTAAGAGATTTCTATAAGAACGTCAAAAAGACTATAAGGCTATTTATTGCATAACAAAAATATAAACAATATGGTGTAACATTACGGCGTATCATATGCAGCGTAGAAAAGTATAGATAACAAATCCAAATTTATATTATCAATTGTTCGTACGAAATGGAGAAAATAATTTAATTGTACCACACGTGACGGATTATAGAAAAAAATGGCCTACTTACAGAGGTTCTAGAATGGCAGTGAGCCAAGTTTTGAAAGCATCTGGATCATTTATGATCATTATCGAACTTTTATTCTCACAATCGTTTATTAAAACACTATATACAATTCTTATAAATACTTTAATGAACGTCAACTCAAATACAACAAAGGTGCACAGGGTAAAATTATTAAATTGTTATCACTTTTGTTGAGTCAATTGCACTTGATATACAGACATGGACATTTACCCACCATATTGAAAAATAGACAAACACGAACTTTGAACGAAAGCGAATGATGTTTAACGAGTTGACAACTCTAGGACGTCGCTCGTTCTTTTACCAAAGATAACAAAAAGATATAACAGAGATATGATATGGCAGACATTGTTGCAGTTGAGAAATGAAGTTAGCGATAAATTAAAAATTAATTGATATTATAATAGATAAAAGAAGAGTAGGATATTATATTATTATTATTACATTTATTTTTTTTTATATTTTATATTTTTATATTTTATATTTATTATAAGAGTGGATATTATATTATTATTATTATATTTATTTATTATTGATATTTATTATTCTTTCTACATAATTGTTTATTATTTTTTTTTATTATTATTATTAGATATAATAAAAATGTTAATTGTACTCTGCAATAATTTTATACACTGTTGTCCATGACATATTACTTTGTATATTATCTTTATTATTATTTTCTAAAGTACCAATTATCTGCCTCGTTGTTTCTAAATTTTTTTCACTAATGACACAAAATCATTTCTTTTTATCAACAATCAGATCATGTTATCTATATATATTTGATCAATATAAATTAATAACGTAACACGACTTAAAATTACATTTTGGTTTTTCTAAATTTTTGCATTTATTTTTATATTACAAATACACTTTTATTGCATATTTTCTTCTAGATTTATCAACTCTTTATATGTGTCGATGTGTCTAAGTAGGCTTGCAATAATTAGTATATTCGGCAAAATGCCAAATATCGAATATTCGCCATGCTCCAAAGACCAAATACCGAATATTCGGCAACTATTCGGCAAGTTTTTGGCGTCTAAGCTCGTTTATATTAATGTAATTACTATTAGTAAATGCTATATTACTAACGCGCCACATGTTTATTCAAGTTTTATGCCTAGACTTGCAACCATTATTCGGCTACTATTTGTTGTTTGGAATATTTGGCACCATTTATACTATTCGGCCAAATACCGAATACTTGAATACCACATGTGATAGGAAAGTAAATGGTAAAATCATAAAAAAAGCGATTCTTTACAAATATGCAAATGTATTTCCAATTATTTCTTTCATAAACATTTAATTTTTTTTCATAAATTCAATATTATTTCTTATAGAAGATTAGAAATGCTAATCATAACAAAATAAATAAAAATTGATCAAAAATCTTGTTCGTATATTCTGCGATAATGATAATTCTCTATTTGAAAATGCTTAGATTGAATATAATGAATGACTTTATTGCTGATTCATGTTAAATATTCATAACAATAAAGTATCTTGTAAATATTCGGAAAAAAATTTCTTCGCCTGTTTATTGATAATGCCAAAAATCGATAAAGTTTAAATTACTATATATTGTATATTTTAACGAAATTATTTCTTCATATCACATTATGTAAACCAAAACAGATACATTGCAAGCTCTTTATTTTTCACCTTTGATTTTAACTATTCGGTATTCGGCCGAATAGTAAGTTACTGTTCCGTGTTTGGCCAAATATTAAAAAAGTGCCGAATATGCCGAATAGTAACCGAATATTCGGTGCAAGCCTAGTCTAAGGTGATAAGAAAAATGTCAGCCTGACTCGGACAAAGTGGTTAGAGTTTATTTTTTGTATGTAGGACGAGGTCTGACAACGGAGTGCAAAGGGTTAATATAAGCGTTGTTTTTAAGCATTTGACAAAAAAGGCATTGACGAAACACAACTAATATGATAACATCATAGACCTTATACTTTTTGAAATTTGTTTGTCAAATGCAGACTTAAATGGCCTAAATGTGGATAAAAAAGATATAAGAATCTAATCTTATTTTCTATCAAAAACTAAATTCTTCAGAAAGCTACCGACGTACAAAACCTAAATTTATTTGCTCTTTTCCTTAACTAGCTGCATGTTCTTTTTTGTTAAAAAAATATATAGCTGTTGTACTCCCTTTCTATAGAAACAAAATTTTTCTTCGGAAAGTTAATGACGTACGAAACCTAAATTGACTTACCTTTTTGGTAAACTATACGGCATGTTCTTTTTTCGTTAAAAAATATATCTGTTGTTATTCCTTTCTTCAGTATTTTTTAATTGTGATTGAAGAAAACACTACACATATAAAATTATGACTTTTTTGCCATATTTATGTATAAATAATTATCATTTATTAAATAAGCTTGTTAAGTGACTTTTTTTAATATAAAATTGATAAGTTATACAAGATAAAAGAGTGAACTTCTCAATTGTTTTGTTCTCTTTGTTCTTGCAAAATGACAACGTAAAAACACGAAAAGAATTTGACATTTCATTGATTTTTTAACCCCAAAATTTAAAGAACTGTCAAAATCAAAGGTGATAATTAAGATTTATAAATAACATATTTTTTATTATTTATCGTTTATTATAAAATATTTATTGACAATGGCCACTATAGAAGTTCACCATTTATCTCAAAAACCGACAGAAGCATGGAAAGAGATATCAAAGACTCAAAGAGTAATAAAAATCGCAGTGAAACCCCCAAAAACAGAAGTGGCCCCAAATAAAGTGAGAGTTGTTTGTATGAGTGATACGCACTCTTTGACGCCTTATATAAAATTTGACGTACCCCCGGGCGATATATTTATTCATGCCGGAGACTTTACTAGATGTGGAAAACTTGAAGAAGTGATAGAATTTAATAATTGGATAGGTTAGATATAAAATAATAGATTTTTAGACCTCTGCCAATTTTGATTTTATATATATTTTTCAATCTTAGGTGAGTTACCACATAAGCACAAAATAGTGATAGCGGGCAACCACGAGTTGAGTTTTGACTCAAACTTCACGCATCCTTTACAAAATGTATCAGAACGTTGTCAACACACAGGCACAAGTATCTTAGATGAAATACCTACACTTGGAATGTCAAAAGATGAAATATCAAGTGCAATAACTACAGAAAATATAAAACAGCATTTATCAAATTGTATATTTAGAAGACAAATTAATAGAAGTATGTGGATTGAAAATATATGGAAGCCCATGGTAAGGAACTTAATAAACAAATGTATAAAATTAACATTAGACTAAATACATAGTTAACATTATCCTATTTTAGGCAGCCTGAATTTTGCAAATGGGCATTTCAATCTGCCGAGAGGCAAGGAATGTTTGAAGAAGTGGAATTTGATTCCAGAAAATATAGATATATTAATAACACACACCCCACCTATTGGCTTTGGTGATTTGTGTTGTTCAGGAGTCCGTGCAGGATGTGTAGAACTTCTAACAACAATCCAAAAAAGAGTTAAGCCAAAATATCATGTATTTGGTCACATTCACGAAGGTACAAATACAACATTTTTCCCAGTTGGTGGTTTTACACATATGATATTTATAGTATTTGTACTTTTATTGCAGGATATGGTGTATCTTCTGATGGAAAAATAATATTTGTTAACGCTTCAACTTGTGATTTAAACTACATGCCTGCAAATCCACCAATAGTTTTTGACGTATCATTACCACCAAATGGAATAAAGTAAACACAATCACAATACTAATAAATAAAAGCAATATAAACACCACCATATTTCATTTAGTTTTTATTAAAGTTACAAATTTAATTGTATCCATAAGAATTAATAACTTGTGTGTACGGCGCAACCCTTTTGGCGACTGCCTCACCAGCCTTCTTAGTGAGTTTCTGAAGAAACAAGAAAATGAATTAGAAAATTATAAAAATAATAGATACCAAATTTATGGTAGTAAATAACCATCATATAAATGAGCAAGTTTCATAGCACATCAAATAATGTAGGTAAGATTTTTATAATCATGGAACAATTAACAGTTATAGGTGAAATTCAGTTGAACTCCAGTATAGTTCATTATACTTCACCATGAATAACTTAAATTTGTTATCCACATAAGAACATTCCAAATAATTGTATACGTTCAAAATGTGGCTGAGAAACCACAAAGTTTCATGTAATAATATATTAATTGTACTTGACAATTGATAAATGTATAAGCATACCTTAAGATTATTTCTCTTTTTGATGTTAAGAATAGTCTTAACTCTCCTCTTGTTTTCAAGAGTACGTACAACATCTTGATATTTCCATCCAAACCTCATTTGATAAGCGACCAACATGGCAGTACTGCATAAAAAATACATAAATTAATGCAAATTATAATTATTTGCAGAAGTAGTTGCAAATATACTAAATCATACAAAATGTGGTTTCACAAGATCTCAAATAATGTAGGTAAGATTAAATTAAAATCATTTAGAATTGAACATAAGTTCATTCATGTATTAGTTCTTACCTTGCGGCCAGGTTTAAGACACATGACTCTCATTGCTTTTGGAACAACTAGACGTTTCCTTCTGTCGAATGGTGCTGGGCAACCTTCATATGCCTTAAGTCTGCGAAGAGCTTGCTTTCCCCTTTCGGTCTTGTGTGGCACCATACCTAAATTTAAAATTTATCAAATTTAGCTATGGTTGTATGTTTTATGTAGCTTGAATAGATAGTTCTCGTAAGAATCATAATTAAGTTAGTTTCATGGACCTCAAATAATGTAGGTAAGAAATATAATAATCATGTTAATATTTATTCTAATATAGATTTGCATAGAAATTTGATAACAGGATAAAAAATGTTTACATACCACGAACAGTCTTCCACAAAATTCTGGAGGGCGCTCTGAAATGGTAAGGTCCTCGTGCAGGGTTGATGTTACATCTCTTACGCAAGAAGGACATGAACTTCAACTTGTTCCTAAAAAGTGAAATGCATAATTATAAAATATTTATAATTATAACCAAATTGTGGCTCATTCAGTTGTCATTTTTAGCTTACCTGAAGAAGTTTCCTGAAATATTCAGTTGTTCACATCTTACTACAACAACTTTTGTTCCTTCTAACAAAACTTTTGCAATAATAGCAGCCAGTCGGCCTAACAGATGGCCACGACCATCGATGAGAATGGCCTGGAATAAAAATAATATGTACTATGAGTAACATGCATCAAAATGGCGAAACTGAGGTTATGCAAAAAAAAAACAACTTAATGTCGATTAGTGATAATGTAACATAATTATGCACCGCCAAGCTGTATGCTCGGTTAAAAAATTACACATTTAGGCACTTGTTTGCTTGCAAAACAATAGTTAAACTTTTTTTGACACCGTTCACACGTGCACTATTTTCATGATAATCGTATGCAACAATTATCTGCTTTTTACACATTGTAGAACAATTATTACAAACTTTGCATTTAAACAGAGTTAAAACACCATTATTCTTCAATTAAAAACTAATATACATATTTATTAATTTACGTACCTTTTCACTGAAACCCGTCATGTTTTACGTACGAACGGAAAAAGAAAAAGATATGGGTGAGAGCCGAGTGTTTGCCGGAAATATAGACTATATTCATAAGAATTATATAAACTTGAATTATAAGTTGAAATTATTTGTTTAAAGTATATTAAAACTTCAATCAGCAAAAAAAAAAAAATTATTTCGATATACAAAAAAAAAAATTGAAACAAAATGTTTTTTTTCGTAAGCAATTATTTCGTTAAAACAAGCAGAAAGTTTTTGAATCATTCAAATCCGACGCTTAGTTCTTTCAAAAACTACATTTTTGCACATTTAGCTCTGTATCTTCGAAATGCCTGGACCTGCCTTTGCCAAAACTAATTACCTCTTCTCTCAATCGTTACAAATTGAATGTTTTTTAGATCATTCAAATCGGTTACTCCGTTCTCTTAAATACTCGTTTTGTATTTTTTGCACTCTTTGCTCCGTATCTCCGTAATGGCTGGTCCTACCTCTGCCAAAAACTAATTAGCACATCTCCCCATCAATAGGAATCGAATGTTTTTTGAACCATTCAAATCGGTTGATCCGTGCGCCCGAAAACGTGGACGAAAAAATGCGGACATACAAAACACACACACACATACACATCCATTTTTTCTGAGCTATGCCAAAATGTTCAGAAACCTTCCAAAACCTGTGAAGATATGCAAAAATTTTCATTTTCGATTTTCGGCCCGTTACTATAACTACCCTACGGGATGTTAATAAACCCAAGAAAGATAATTGCAATATTGTTATAAATAATTTTGTTATAAATAAATGTATTTATATATGAGACTAAATCCTAAATTGGAAAGTTCCTAGTTAACTGATAATAATAATTAACAAAACATGCTACACTATTTCTGTTAAATCAAAAAATATTACTTTTCAGATTGAATTTCTTAAAAACCACGTTAAGACGATTTTCAAGACTAAAAGCGGATCAAAAACGCGTCTTGAGCAAAAAAATAGTATTATGCGGGATAGGAATAATATGCGGTGTAAAATCGTATTAAGCATGATCATCTTAAAGGAGTAATGTGTATTTCATGTACATATATAAAGTAAAATGTGTTCATAAATTCACTAGATTTAACACAAAGTTTTAAAACCCAACATATTCAATACTTTAATATTAATAACATGTTACATTTTAATTTGTTATATTTGTGTGAAAAAAAACTAATAACCTTTAGTTTGTGCATCCAATTTATTAATACATTCATATTTCATATCATAGTCATATTTATTAAGAAGGCATTTTGTTGCAAATAAAAGTTAATCTTAAAATTAAAGAAAGTCAACCAAAAAATTATAAAATTTTATGTAAGAAATTACAAATACTCAAATCTTTTCAAATCATCAAACTTATATTCACATAAAATGTACATCTTCCTTAAAATAGTACATAATTTAAATTTTTTTATATATATTTCTCTACATATATTCACAATTATTAATATAAAATAACCATTTGTTTTGACTAAATCCACGTTTCCATATAGGAATAAAAATTTCTATACAAGCATGGAATCAAAAATATAAAATTTGTTCTGTTAAAATCACTTCAATTCCTCATGTAGTTTCTATTTACACATTTTAGTTTAAAAAATCACAGGATTTAAATATAAAATTCAAATAAAAACAACCAATTTTTATACTTTGATGATCAACACCATTAAAATAAATGAATGACTCATTATACACAGTTTTAGCATTTCAAGCAACTGCGTGTCATTTTGTTTTGTAAATAATATTTTTAATTAAAAAAGTTTTTTCTTCAGGTCATGAAGAAATTTCTTCTTGTTCGCTTTTATAAATCATACTACGACACATAGGACAGTGTAACAGAAGTTTTGAACAGTCCACACAGAAACCTCTAAAAAAATAAATAAATATTATAACCAAAAAGGTATTAGTAAGATTCAATATATAACATATTTATTAAACCTGTGCTGGCATGGGTGTAACGTAACAGTTGCCCTTTTATCAAAACATAATGTACATGAATCTTCATGGATGCTTAATTTTCTTAACTGTTCTAAGTATAAATGCCTTGGTAACACAATCTGAAAAATAATTGAAATAGTTAAACATAACATACTCATGCTGTTATCCATTAACTTTGCCATATGTATCATATTTTTTAAATAAAATTTTTAGTTAAAAAAACAAATGATTTGTAAAACACAAAACACAAAAACATATTCAATGAAAATAATAACTAAATGATAATGAAAAAGAATAACTTATATATTATATGAATATGTATTCATAATATATTATATGAATATTTATATTCATATAATTTATATATTTTATGAATATTTATATATTATATTGTATTTGCGTTCCAAACAAGAAATCCAACTAAAAACGATATTCATAAAATGATTTATGAAAGAAAGTATTTACTCTTAATGTTTCAGAACTAGAAATCCACCTTCAGATATTTTTTTTATTAAAAATAAAATATTTTGATATTATAATAAACAATATAACAATTGTTATATTGTTTTTTATTTCTTAAGAAATGTAATTAAGAAAAAGATGAATGAATGAATTATATGTCTGATAAAAATAAAAAAATTAATTCCATTAAGAAATAAAATAATAAAAATAAGAAATAAAAACTATTTATCTCAAGTCTAATTGGAAAACTCACAAAATTATAACTTATTCGTAATCAATCTTGTATTAATATTTTTGAAAGACAAGTTATTTTGCATATTTCACTGTTACTGGTAAGTCATGGTCATAATATGGTGTTCATTGCACAGACGATGTTAATGCATTAGAAAGGATTATAAAATTGTTTTGTTTATATATGGGGACTATACATCAGAACATGAAAACATAAAAATGACAAAATAGCTTTGATTGTGCATAAATTAAATAAGCTGAATACAAAAAAACAATTATTAAAATATTTTCAATTAATTTTGAAAATTTAATTAAAACCTATATGGTATTTCAACATAGAAAATAAAACTAACTTAAATTTTATTAAATATGAGTAATAATTGTGTTTCTTATTATATCAATGTATATAATTTATGCACAATCAAAGCTATTATTCCTCTTTAATAATTGGTTTTTTAATTTGCTGATTCTTTTCAGTGCACCATACACCAATACAACCTTCACTAAATTCAAAAAATATATTATAAAAAAACAAGTGTTTCAAAATTATTAATTTTTTGATGACAAAAAAGTGATTGCAGTTATAATTTAGTGAATAGTAAGTAATAAGTGTTTTTCAAACAGACTCGCAGGTAAATAATTCTTGTTTCTAAAGCTTAATGATTTTTAATAAAGTCAATACTTATTTTCAAAAAAACGAAATTGTGTTCTTATATGCATTCTGGTTCAGAACACAATACAAAATATTAACACTTCCATAACTCAACAAATATATATATATATATATATATATATATATATATATATATATATTTAATAAAAAAAAATATGTTTACTTTTTCTTCTGGATTAAGTTTGGCAATAGAATTAAAGCTTTTAAATGCTCTGTCAGTCGGAGGATATTTAAATGGTTCAGACCCAAAATTAAATTTGCATTGTTGGAAAGACATAAAGGAAGCAGCGGCAAAAAATCCACTCCTAAAAAAAAATACTAAAATTAATAAAAATTATATCATTAAATAATATTAAAGTATAATACTAACTTTGCATGTTCAAACAGTTGTGTGCAAACAACAACTTCAACTCCATCAAGACTAAATGAGATCTCCATTTTATTCAAATCTAGAAGACAACCTAATATACTTCCTGATTCCCATTGAGACATAGAACGTTCTGTATTATTTGTAGAATCGTTAATACAAGGTTTATCAGGTACTGCATGTGATCGTGCACCATGCCAGACTAGTCTGCGGCATCCATCGTATGCCAAAGAAAATTCATCATCTCCTATAAATCAAATTTTGTTTCAAATCTTGCTTTTCTAGATAAAATATATATTTCATACCTATTCCATATCCTTCATGATTCAAAAAAGTGCTGTCTTTGGTTGCCCAGCCTATTTGCATAATGCCTGAGGTAATAATCAATGTTTCATAGTACCAAACACCATTATCAACCTATATAAGCAAGTATTAATTAATATTATTTTATAATAATTAATATCAACATACTCAAAATCTCTCTGCCACAAAATTCAATATTTGTTTGTTAAACTTAATTTAGTTTATTGGCCGCGGCAAGAACTTTAGGTATACACATGTATATAAACTTGAAATAATCCAAATACATTAACCCTTACCGCTCTGCACTGATTGAAAAACAATCTACTAGCAAATCGGTGCTGCATTCTTACAAAAACATACCTGCTGTAAATCTGACATTATTGTCTGCGTTATGCAATTTGTTTTATATGAATTTGTGAACATTGAAAAACATTTATTTACAATAATGGCTAAATTTACTTTCTGCAGTATTAGCGTCTTGACAGTTATTTTATAATTCCACAAAAAAGTGTAACATACCATTTTTTATATATGTCTGTCTTTATTAATGAAAATTTTGTTTTACGAATTGCTCAGTTATTTTACCATATTTAGAAAAAAAAAAAAATAGATTAAAAACAAGGTAAAAAATACATTCAAAATAACTAATATTAAATTTTGTAAACAGAATGCTGTTTCATCTGAAGATTTATTATTGTGAGTCTTTTTAACTCACTGGCTACATTAAATTTTTAAAGTTTATACTAGACTTACTTTGTCCCCTCTGAAGGGACAACCAAGTAAAAAGGGTTAAATGACATACATAACTGTAGAATTTAGTTCAATATTACAATAATAAAAATGTTACAATACCTGGAATGTACAACGAACACTTTCAAAAGAGTAAGAATCACATCTTGCTTCCAATCCATCAGGTGAAATTTTTAAATATTCACTAACATCACGAGTATTCAGCATTACTTCTATTCCAGTTAAATCTACGGTTTCATATGAGTATTTTCGTTCATTGGAAACAACTAAAACAAAAAATACTACTGTATTCTGGATCATCACTAAATAAGGTAGTATTATGTTTTCCACTACTATATATATAAAATTATATTATATTATATTATATTATTATATTGTATTTAATTTGATTAAATATATTAACATACACAAATTATCCAAGCACCACCTTGCACAAAATCCAACTTGTCTTTCTAAACAGGATTCACTAGAACACAGGGCTTCAAATTTGTATAATGGATTTACAGGGTGTGAAGATAGTTTTTTCTGCAAATTATACAAAAATATTAAAAATCACATAATATATAAATATAACTAAATATAACTTTTTTATACATTTTCACACTTTCTTAATTATTTAATTTAATAACTATAATATTATAACACTTGCTAAGAATTATAATTGGTAATACTTGAAGTTGTATAAATTGTATAAATTATGACAGAAATAGAGTACAAATTTAAAAATAAAATGAATATATATATATATATATATATATATATATGTTTTTAGTTTGCTTAAATCTTATCAAGATCATGTTTCTTGACAGATGTCCTGAAAATGGAACGTACCTAGTTCAGAAACATCGACATTAAATAAATTAAGAAATCATTTTTTAAAAAACTTTTTTGTTCGAAGCTCTACAAAAATTTACAAATCCAAGACTCTACCATCTAATATATATATATATATATATATATATATATATATATATATATATATATATATATTGCAACCTACTTTAATTGTTGCTTTGTTTTCACTGGTTTGTGCAAATTTTTCTAATGCTATGAGTGAGAATAAAATAACATGAAGATCTGGACTGCTAATCTAAAAAATAGAATAAACATGTATAAAGTGTAAATATTCCATTTAAATTACAAACAAAGTATTTCTGGTGTACGTACTAGATTATTAATAAGATAGTGTAAAGTATCTTTGGATAAGATAGCAACACTGCTAGGACCTGCTAATTTTTCGGCCATACATCCTAATATAACACATATGTTTCTATGCCTTGCACTGTCTTCTCCACCGCTCATAGAAAGGTCAAACAATTTTGATACCTAGAAAAATAACAATCAGCTTAATATGATCAAATATAAATGATTTATAAAAGAAACATATTTCAATATTATTCTATAAATAGTTTGTTTTACCATAAGATTAATATATTTTTAATTATGTTCTAGTAGTGTAATTAAAGTTATCACAAGTATTCTAAAAATCATTTTGGCATACCTTATGAAAAATGAATAAGTGTATTTATGTGTGTATGTATGTGCAAATACAAATTTTTGTTGACAATTTCGAGAGCACAAATCAATCAATTTGGATAATTAAAAAAATATTTGATTCCTATTGATAGGGAGACGTGCTGATTAGTTTTTGGCAAAGGCAGGTCTAGCCTTATCAAAGATATGGTGCAAAAAACAGCAGTTTGCCTTAAGGCACAATGCCATGCACCACTAGTTATTATATAGTTGTTTCTACCAAAAAAGCTTTGAGTCACATTTGAAAAATATACCTTGATAACAGAGTCTTTACTAGGTAATGGACAATCGTCTAGCAGCAGGGTAATTACAGAAGGTCCCAATGGGTGATCCATTGGTATCACATCTACCATAGATTCCACAACCTATTTGGAAAATAATTATATATTATTACTGTATTATTACAATTGAACAAAACTTCAATTTAAAATCAGTTTCTTCACATTTGTTAAGTAATATTATATGTTTAAAACCTTGTTATTTAGAAAGTGATTAATATAATGAAAGGTCAAAATTGCAAACATTATAACATATAACATATTACCTGTATCCAACCAGCTTCTTTGTCTGCTATAGAATGTAAACAAACCATTGCCATCGGAGGATCTTGTTCACTGTAATAAATAAATATAATTAATTTAAATTTTCAATGATTATAAAACATTAATACGGTACCATGTCAAAGAGAAATCCTTATTTAAATCAAATATTTTGGAAAACTAATTTAAACATTAATCAATAGAAAAAGAATGTTAGTTAAATATTTAGACAAGGCAATATGTGACTTGTTAATGCTCTTAGAAAAAAAATTAAGTGCAATGATAAAGAATGAAATTAACTCAATATATTGTTGGTGATTTTCACACACATTACTCAATTGGTAAAGTTAAACTTTATCCCAAGAAAATATATGAATTTGAGTATTTTTACTTGCTGATTAGTTAGATAAAATTATATTTAAAATGTGTATAAATAAGTAAATTGTTAGATAAGTGTTTGGCATGCAAAATAATAAATTATACAGGGTGTCTTCAAGATCTTCAAGTCGATTTAGGATGATAGTATTAACCTTAACTGTCCTGAAAAAATTTAGACAAAAACAATTATCTTATTGTGAACTATTTGTGAGTAAAATGTACTAGCAAAAGATGTTTCTAGATTTTTATATTTTTACTCCATATTTTTCTATAATAAAATTATGAAGTATTTTTTACCATTTTACAATCCTAATTAAATGCATCAACGTTGATGGAGCTTGCCATCTCTCAAAGTAGATTGATAAAAAAAAATTAAATTCATAGTTCAAAAAAAATCTTATTTCTTAAAAATTGGTGCATTTGTGTTATTATTTTTACTGTGGTCCTAGAAATGTTATTCTCCATCACAATTTCAAAGTTTAAATAAACAAAATTAATAAAAGTTAACCAGAATAACCAAAAAATGGCCATAAATTCCCCTGAGATTCTAGAAAAAATTAATTTGATATTCCTGAGACAAGGTTTAAGAACAAATCGTATCATGTAGAGTTCAAAAACCACAAAAAACTATATATTGAAGGGTCTAATGAATAGAGTAGCAATGGTGGTCAACGGACAGTGCTCGAAACAAAACTTTTTTAATACATCACATAGTACATTTATCAATATTGTCAAAAGAAATAATACTTATTAGAATTTGTAGGTACGTGTGTATGTATAGGTGCCCGTATATGTGTTTGAATGTGTTTGTATAAATAACATAGTTTAATATTATTATGTAACATTACTATATAATTAACCGTATATAGCCGATTGGCATATAATAAATAAATAAATAAATAAATAAATTTACTAAAACTCTAAGTTGCACTTAACAGCTTATATTTTCCAAACAACATGAGACAATATTTTTTTCTAATTTTTTTTAGGACAGCTAAGATCAATATGTAAAAATCTGGGACACCCTGTATGAATAATAGATAAATTTCTTATAATTTTTAGTAGAATCATTCTTCAGACAAATCACTTATCATTATAGTTAAATTTATAACAAAGAGGTAACACTGCTGTAAGTTTTGGCTGAATTTAAATACTCGGCAGTCACAAAAAAATCAATATGTTATAAATCTCTTACAAATAAGTGTATTTTTTTAGATCCAATTTTAAAGCATTTACACATTGCAAGAAAAATTATTTTTGAATATTTTTCTATTATTTTACTTAAATATACAGTAGAACCTCGTTTATCCGGACCTCAGTTATACAGATTCGCGATTATCCGGACTACCAAACGTGACTAATTTATATGTATAGTAGAAGCTCGATTAACCAGACTAATTGTTGTCGATAGGAATCCAGATAATCGAAAATCTATCCGGATTCAATGTATGAAGAATAATGATGTGTTTATCAAAAATAACAAATACATACATAGATATCAAGGAAAATCAATGTTTAATAAGAAATTAACATTTCCTGTTACAAGAATGTACATATATATTTTCTTACAGTGAAACAATATAAAAATATTCAAACATAATTATTCTTTGCAATGTGTAGATGCTCCAAATTTAGATCTAAAAAAAACAGTTATGTGCTTATCGCTCAAGAAATACATAAAAGATTTATCAAATACAGTAGTGCCTCGATTATCTGGACTAATTATTGTCAATAAGTATTCAGATAGTCAAAAATCCAGATAATAGAATGTATGAAGAATAATGTTGTGTATTCATTAAAAATAACAAATACATACATAGACATCAACAAGAATAAGGTTAATTAAGAAATTGAAACTTTCTTATATATGTACATATATATTTTCATAGATTACATTACATACATATACTAAACTGCAGCATAAATCGTGCAAAAATTCGAATTGTAGGTATGTACATACATATAACTCTGTCGCTGTTGTTAGTACGAATAATCGCGAATCCGTATAACTGAGGTCCGGATAATTAAGGTTCTACTGTATTTACATACATACAATTTGAATTTTTGCATGATTAATGCTGCAGTTTAGTATATGTATGAAATGTAATCTATGAAAATATATATGTATATACATAAAAAAGTTTCAATTTCTTAATAAACCTTATTCTAGTTGATGTCTATGTATGTATTTGTTATTTTTAATAAATACACAACATTATTTTTCATACATGACAATGACGGACCTAAACAATTTCAAAATTAAATTGAAAAATTATAAATGAAATAAAAAAAATGAAAAAAAATGAAATGAAATTCCTTATTTTAAATACTATATATATATATATATATATATATATATATATATATATATATATATATATTACTTCTGTTTTGTAAAAAGTATTAATTACAATTAAGTATAAGTATGTATGTATGTAAGCAATGCGTTCTGTGTATATAGGTGTGTATAATAGTAATAAGTAAAAATATATAGATGTCTTAATGTAAGCCTGTTACATAAAATTTAGATTTTATTTTTGTTATAATTGCTGTGATCTCTCATACCAGAACAATTGTCTGACTGAGATACAGTATGTATGAATTATATCAAATAAATAAATAAAAAAAAAATACATTCGATTATCTGGATTTTCGACTATCTGAATACCTATTGACAATAATTAGTCCGGATAATCCAGGCACTCCTGTATTTTATAAATCTTTTGTTTCTTTTTATTATTTATTTATTATTTCTTGAGCGATAAGCACATAACTGTTTTTTTTAGATCTAGTTTGGAACAACTAGATACAAAGAACTTTGCAACTAGATACCTACATTGCAAAGAATAATTATGTTTGAATATTTTTATATTGTTTCACTTAAATATATGCTAAATGATTTTCTCCATAATTACAATTTTATAATATTTACTTCTAAGAAAAAATCATAATAAATTTCAAATTTAAACTGTTACAGTGGTGTTACCTTCAAAAGAAATTCCTATTATGAATTTATATCAATTAAATATTTACAATAAGACTCATGGACAAAGGATCAAGAACAGAATAACGAAAAAGTATATAATGTTAATTTCTAAGTCTACAAATTACTAACTTATCAACAATAGACCCAATCATAGCTAATGTATCTAACACCAATTTATTAACTTGCTCAGCTAAAATATTCTTGCTATTTCTCTCGCAAACGGTAGCCCTCCTGCTCCTCGGAGCCAAATAGGGCTCTCGTTCTTCGATTCTGTCTTTGCAGAAGCATGTACCCATTTTATTTCAAATCTGGCTATGTAATCTAAGAATATTAATTAGTCTTTTTTTCTACATTGCGCAAGATTATAAACAGAGTCTCTTCTTCCATGTTTACGAAAGTCATTAATTACACAGAACTGAAGCACTGCACGACATTGCGACGAATTTCGAATTGGTCATATTGATATCGGCACTGTCCTCACGTATTTATTTCTTATCATTTTATCTCATTTTAGATAAAAAGGTCCCGATTTTAATTGCGATAATGGCATGCACAGCCTGTTAGTAAATGTGTCGACTTTGACAGTTCTTGGCGAAAGCAGCGCCGCCTCCATTTCGATAGCGAATTAGCGAACTAAATTGATAAATATACATAATACATGTTTATTCAAGACATGCAACACGAAACACGCGACACGCACCAGCACCACACAAACACACGCATTACTCATCATTTTCGTATTATGCGTGTACACAACGCACGCACATATATGTATATATATGTACGTATATGCTTGATTTTCAGCCAAATTGTGTCGAAACTAGCTGTAAGTGAAATTCTGTTTTAAGGCAATTAAGGCATCGTGCCTTAAGGCAAATTGCTGGAACTTCCCGTACCAAAAATTATTATTTTTTTAAAAACAATTAACATTTTTGAAAAAATTTTACTTCGAAAAAATAAGATTTTTGAGAAACTATAAATTGGACAAAAAATTACTTTTTTTTGAAAAAAAAAATTAGATTTTTTTTTTTAAATTTTTTTTTATTTTTTTTTTTTTTTTTATTTTGACATATTTTGGAAGATCTAAACTTTTTTCAAAGCAATCGTACTGCTTTAACTGCATAGGGACAAAATATAAAGCGCGTAAGCGCCGCGTCGCTGTCTAACGCATAAGCAATGGTACGGAACCCATAGGAATGTTAACAAAATGTATACTTATTGTTAAAATCTCTATAAAATATCTGATAATTTGATGTGCACATGTCTAATGATCATTTTTGACCGCCAAATGGCTCATTTCTTTACTTTTTCCTCCATATCTCCGAAACCGCTAGACCTACCTTTATGAAAATTTTATCGATTCTTCATCTTGTCAATACAAGTGAAATGTTTTGTGAACTGAGTTACCGTTTTCGGCACTTTTTGCCCCGTATCTTTGGAACGGCTAGACCTGCCTTCGCCAAAAACTAATCAGCATGTCTCCTTATCAATACGAATCGAATGTTTTTTGAATTATTCAAATCGGTTGATCCGTGTTCCCGAAATCGTCGACGAAAATTTGTATCCGCACATACATACACACACGTACATACATACATACATGCATACATACATACATACATACATGCATACATACATACATACATACACACAACACACACACACACACATACATCCATTTTTTCTAAGGTATGCCAAAATGTTCAGAAACCTCTGAAACGTATACGTTCTAGTTCTAGTAAAATTTTTATATATCTTTATAAAGATATATAAAAATTTTCATTTTTGATTTTTTTGCGATTACTAGAACTTGCCCTACGGGAAGTTAACTAGTGGGGCGCATGGCATCGTGCTTTAAGGCAAATTGCTGGAACTTCCCGTACCAAAAATTATTTTTTTAAAAAAGATTAACATTTTTGAAAAAAAAAATTACTCTGAAAAAATTATATTTTTGAGAAACTATAAATTTTTGACAAAAACTTACTTTTTTTTAAAAAAAAAAAGACTTTTTGAAGAAAAATTTATTTTTTAAATTTTGAACTTTTTTTCAAAGCAATCGTACTGCTTTAACTGCATAGAGATGAACTATCGAAGCGCGTGAGCGCCGCGTCACTGTCTAACGGATAAACACTGGTACGGAACCCATAGGAATGTAAACAAAATTTATACTTATTGTTAAAATCTCTATAAAATCTTCGATAATTTGATGTGCATATGTCTAATGATCATTTTTGACCGCCAAATGGCATTTTATTTTACTTTTTTTACTAGATCTCCGAAACCGCTAGACCTTCCTTGAAAATTTGATCAGCTCTTCATCTTGTTAATACAAGTAAAATGTTTTTTGAATTATTCAAATCGGACGCTCCGTTCTCTTAAAAACTGAGTTACCGTTTTTGGCACTTTTTGCCCCATATCTTCGGAACAGCTAGACCTGCCTTTGCCAAAAACTAATCAGCACGTCTCCTTATCAACACGAATCAAATGTGTTTTGAATTATTCATATCGCTTCATCCGTGTTCCCGAAATCGTCGACGAAAATTTGTTTCCGCACACACACACATACATCAATTTTTTCTAAGGTATGCCAAAATGTTCAGAAGGTTTTGAAACGTGAAGATAATAAAATTTTTCATTTTCGATTTTACGATTACTATAACTTGCTCTACGGGAAGTTAAATAGTGAGGTGCATGGCATAGTGCCTTTAGTGTAGAGCAATGAATTTTAGGTCATTTTTAAAGTGTCTTAAAAGAAAGCAATGCATGTTTTTACTATCCATTTTTTTTACCACTTGTTTATTAATATTATTAAAATACAATACAAAAATTTAAAAAAAAGTTGAAAATTAAAAAATTGGCAGCTGATGAAGTGGGGGGTCTCAAAAAATTGGCACTTCACTATTTGACATGATTTCAGCCTTCCTATAGCCATCCGAAATAAAAAGATTATTAATCTACAATGATGTCGCAACCGCCCGAACTAGCGATGAGTGAAAACATTTTTTTTTACAAATTGGGGACTGTTTGAAAAAAAGTGTCTTTTTTATTGTTTTTTTTTTTTGAGTTTCTCGATTTTTTTAAATATAGTACAAATTGGAATTTGGGGATGATAGTTCGGGCTACAGATAGGTCTATAAAAAAGACTCTCTGAACATTTCAAGTGAATCGGTCGAGTAGAATTCGAGAAATCGTGTCAACAATACTGAAAAAGTCTGTTCTGATCATGAGAAAAACGCATTTAAAGATTTGCGTGAAGTTTTTTGCTGTCAAAGTTATAAAATGATATGTTATACTTCTTTTATTTAATCTGCCATTCCTGCTTCATGCATCGGACCTTCTTCTACTTCAAAAAAAAACTATTTTCTGCTTTTCTCTCTTCCAATCGAGCAATTCTAGTCTTCTTTGAAGCGTTGGATGTTGGCCCAATTTGCATTACCATAAGGGTCATCATTTTTAAAATCGGAAAGAATCCTTCATTGAATATGCAAACAGCAATAAATGTTGCTATTTCAATTACCCGAGATCGGGAATGAATATGTTTCGGCGCGAAAATCCAAATCAACGAGTTTAGAGACTCATTAATGATGAATCATTACAATAATTATTGTTCTGAGTTTCTGAACTTATACATCGAATTAATAATTTATCTGACGATAAACTGTCTTAATTTGGTCTAATGACTTCCTAATGCCTTTTGTCCGATTAGACCAGACCCTTGGAGACCGAGTCAGTAAAATGCCGAAAATAATTCAAATTTTCAAAAACCTTCTCGTACCCATATTCTTAGATAGTTAAACTTTGAAAAGATGAAATAAAAAAAATCGATTTTTTTTGAATTTCTACACTATAATACATCGAATTCATAATTCATCTGACGATAAACTGTCTTAAATTGGTCTAATGACTTCCTAATGCCTTTTGTCCGAATAGACCCTGACAAACCAGTTTGGAGACCGGGTCAGTAAAATGCCTATATCTCCGAAAATAATTTAAATTTCTGTCGATTTTATTAAGAAAATTCAAGAAAAGAAGTTTTAGCCATAACGTTTTTTTTATTAAACCCTCTATTCTGATAATTTTAATATAGCAATCCATTCTAATGTCTGTATAATGCCTTTTTTACATGACACTGTTAATACTTAATAGGGGGATAATGCCAACGCAGAAACAGCTTCGGGCTACGATGTTCAAAAAATTACAGGAAGCTATTAAACATCCAGATCCAGCAGTTGTTGCCGGGAGGAAGTCAGCTATCAAGAGATGGGTGGGAGTCCTTCAAGATAACCAAGATGAACACGGGGTATTCTAATATTGTTTAGGAAGATAACTTTATGGAGCACATAAAATACTTTAAGGGTGATAGTTGAAGTTTTTGCACAATGTATTTCAAGATGAAGGTTGCTGGTCAGGTGTAAGGTTGGATAATGCTGTTTTAGGTCAATGGTTTACTGAAGAAAAAATAGGTGGAATAGATAATCTACTTCGCAAATATGAGATGGCTTGTAGTTACTGTGTAGTGAATAAAATTCATCCTCTCTTTCAAAAAAGATTTGAAACTTATAGGAACAAGTTTCCTCCTCGTGCATTTGATGGTAAAACTGAAACTGAATTTGGCAAATACGTACGAAACTCGTTACTAGATAGCATAAAGAGGAAAGGTCCTGTCTTTGATTTCTGGATTGATAGAGAATCTGGGGAATTAGAGAAGTATGATGCAGTAGAAGGTTTTGACAGTGCTGTAAAACTTAAGTGGAGTGAAGGAGCAGAGTATTTTTATAATCATCTAAAAGAAGAAGATAAAGAAAAGAAGCTTACAGAAGCTATTATTGCTCTGTCCCGCATTCAATCTGTTGAGAAAGATGCTCCTATTTTAGATTTTTGTGTAAGGAATATAGCTGATAAAGATACTCTTTTACAGAAATTGCTGCAGAAAGATAAAGGAGTATATTCCCTTCTTGCTGAATTAATAGAGGCATGTTTTTTTGATACAATTCATGATTTGGTACAGTGCTGGTGTTATAACGGAATTTCAGAATGTGGAGGCAGAGATCATTCAGAGAAAATATTCTCATACGAAGAATATAAACTTCTTCTTTCCTCACTTTCAAATGTTATGTTGGAAAATCCTGAGTTTAATGCTCAAGCTAGATCTCTTATTATGGAAATGCGGAGACGTGGTCGCTTTTATAAACACAAGGAGGCTGCTGTCGATACTTCTAACTTCCAAGTTCCTATAGAAAATGCACTTACAGGGTTAGTGGTTAATTGGGAACGATCTGGTCGTAAGTCTGATGAAAAAAAAGAAATATTAGAGATAATGTTATTTGCCAAGGATCGCTTTCCTGAAAAGTTTGAGTCCTTCAAAGAAGTTATGATAGAAGACCTTAGATTATGTGGTAGGAAAGGCAAGAAAGTAAATGTAGACTATGGTCTATTTGCAGAAGAGTTATTCTCTGAATTAGAGAAAACAACTTTACCTCCTGGTCCTAGGTATGATTTATGGACACGATCTCAAACTTATGGTAGTAAAAAAACATCTATGCCACTTGATGATGGTCGCCGGTCCAAGTTTGAAGCTCCTAGTGTGAGCAGTGTTTTTAGCCATACAAAATAGAGGTGTATCTTATATGAATAATTGCGATGGGCTTCTTAGGAGTATAGTGGATGGAGATCTTGAAGATTTCAGACAAAGATCAATGTCCATCTTTCTTGAATTATGTGAATGCAGGTCGTTTCCTTCCTGTATTCTTTTTTAGTATGTTTGCCACTGCACATGATACTAATATCTCAAATGCAAATGAGAGAGCCTATCTTCATTTTGATTACCATGGTGTTTTAATCCACGTAATGGTGAAAATCGAAATACAGAAAATCTAAAAGTTGTTATTTTGATTCGTAATCGTGATGGACAGCAAGTTGTCAAATGCTACAGTATTTCTGATCGTCCTAATAGTGATGGGCTAAGGTTCAGTACAAGCGAGAGAAATGCTCTGGTGCGAGAGGTTAGACGGCAAAATCCAAATTTGAGAGAAGAAGACCTAAATTTTGAGCAAAAGGAAGAAAAAAAATTATATATTTTTATAAAAATTTCTCTTTATATAGCTGATAATAACTTATTAAATAGTATTGATTTATATACTATTATATATATATATATATATATATATATATATGTATATATAATATTTAACTAATTTTAGATTCATAATTGTGTCAATTTTTCTTGCTTATATAAAAAACACTATTTAATTGTAAATAATAATTTTATCCTAATAATGATAAGGCCTAGGAGTTGGAACACTCATTAAAGGTGAATCCATCATTAAACTTGCATCTAAGTTATCCAAATTAGGTAACTGAGTTTCAACTTGGGCACCAATTCGTTCTTGCAATGATGTATATATCTTATGTGTCAGTTCATTATGCTAAAAACAAAAATAATATTAAAAATATAAAACACTTATTAACTTATGAAAATACTATACTACCTGTGTGCTCGGCTGTAGAATTTTCATCAATAAAACTACTCTAGCTTGTGGAAGTTTACCATGAACATACCATAACAATTTCAATAAATGTTTTACTACATTCTCTTTTCCTAAGCCATTAGAAAAAAACTCATCAAACAATCCTGTGCAGAAATCTTCAGTTGTAAATTCTTCACTCATAGGTAATAACAACGCCACTAATGTATGTAAAAAAGAATCTTCAAAACATCGATCATGTTGACAATTAACTAAAATTGCTAGAATTCGTAATAATCCAATTCTGTCTTTATGTCTAGCAGATGACAATGTGTAGTACATTGCAAGAATGCTTGCTACTGAACTATCTTGAATGTATGCTTCGCAGGCATCGGGTGCAGGGCCTTTGTAAAATAATATTAATTTTAGTATCCACAAATATAAAAGAAAATTTACTTGTCTTTATACATACCTGAATGTTCAATAATGGTAATTGCAGATTGACGCTCATCAGGAGGTAGTTTGGAATGCAAATGTCTAACTTGATCATCAACCATAAGAGACATAAGTGCAGGTAAAAATTTAGTTACTACTTGTGGATCTAGCTTAGGCTCTTTAAAATCCTAGAATCAAACAAAATACAAAACAACTTAAAGGGAAGTTGTAGTCTAGAATTCTAAAAAAAAATGATTTTGTTTAAATATTTGCATATTTTTTCACCTTTCACTTATCACATTCTAAATTTAAAACTCTATGACTATTTTTAATTTTTATTTTTTGTCTAGAGTCTCAAAAACTTAATAAACTTAATAAATAACTAAAAAAGTATAGCAAAAATATTGTTTGCATTTTCTTTATGGCCTTTTGAAAATCACAAACCAAGACTATCCTCTTAGGCAAAATAGGTTTAATTAGTATTTAAATCTACCTGTGAATCAATCATGATCCAAGCACTTAGTCCCAAAGCCAACATACGCAACAATAAAATTAATATTTGATTATCCTAAAAAAAAGGCATTTATTTATATCAATTAGTAAGAATATTGATCAACAAAAATGAATTAATACAAACTCTAGGTAAACCATCATTGTTTATCAGATGCTGCAGAATTTTGATTGCAGAAGTAGCCAAAAAGTTTATTGCATACGGGTCACAAAGAGTCATTGATAAATCTCCTAATACCTAAATTATTTTATATATTTAGGTAAATAAAATATTAAAAGTAAATAAAATTAAAATTTCAATTAAACCGCACCTGTTCTTGTCCACGTTTAATATTATCTAAAAATCCTTGCAGTTCTCGTGATCTTTTAATATCCACATTTTTCTCTCTAGATAAATAAATATATTTTAGTCAAGCATGAACAATATTTATAGGAATATAATTTATATAACCAACCTTATACAAGCATCAAGACACCAAGTAAATTTATGACATGGATCTATACTTATTATTTCCTGAATTTCCAAATCATGTAAAGCCATAAGCAATTCTGCCCGCAGTGTGCAATAATGTACATTTTTTGTTCGCAGAAAAAGTGTACGCAAGAATTGCAGTACCATGTCATACAATTTCAAACTATTACCAATCATATTTGCAAGCTTCTGTACTACAGCTCCTTGTCTTCTGACCTAAAATTGAGTGATCCTTTAATTGCAATAAGGTAATTGGAAAAATATTAGGGAAATGGTAAAATGACATACTTTAGGACTGGGCGAAAAAAACAAATTATTCAAATTTAAATGATCAAATAAAACATCCTCTTTCTCTCTGATGTATTGACTTAATAAAGGTGAGACCTCATCTCCAAACAATGATTGATTATCCTTCCAAATTTGTCTTTTAACTTCTGTAGGTGTATCAATATATAATTCCCTCTCTCTCACTAAAACCCTTAAGTACTTGTCATCAATATGCGGTGTATTCCTCAAAATGCACATAACAACTGGTCTCAAGGCTTTTACTCGTACAACTGGAAACGATTTTGAGAGTAGCTCTTTCAGTTTTTTATCTCGTTCTCTTCCTTCTTTTGAACCTATATCATTTATATGAGCAATTAGCTTATCACGCAGTTCCTGTTAATAAGATAGTAATTAGTTAGCGTTAAAGCTAACTATATTCATTGAAATATTTTATTAAATAACTTACTTCAACAACTGATGTATGAAAATCTAGTCGTCTCACTCCATGCAGATCTAACATGGGTAACATTGGGCGTAAAGACGGCAGCAGGATACCATTTTCGAGCTGACATGATTACAAAAAAATTATGATAATAATTTATAAAAATCTCGCATCTTATAAATTTTAACTAATTATTTTTTTACTTTATTCAAATCATTCTATGTTTGAGTAGGTATATTTTTTAGTAAGTAAAAGCTGATTAGCTATAATTCTTCTATTGCTCTTAAAGGATCAGTACAACTAGTTAAAGGTTCAGGCAAATAATTTACATTTTATGTAAAAATATACATTTTATAAATATAAACTATTTTTTTTATTTCATTCAAATTATTCTATGTTTAAGTATATTTTTTAATAAGTAAAATCTGATTAGCTAAAATTCTTCTAATGCTGTTAAAGGGTCAGTACAACTAGTTAAAGGTTTGGCAAATAATTTACATTTTATGTGAAAACATACATTTTATAAATATAAACTATTTTTTTACTGTATTCAAATAATTCTCTATTTAAGTACATAATTTAATAAGTGAAAGCTGGTTATCTAAAATTCTTCTATTGCTTTTAAAAGAGCCAGTCCAACTAATTAAAGGTTCAGGCAAATCATTTACATTTTATAAATATAAACTATTTATTATTTCATTCAAATCATTCTATGTTTAAGTAGTAAAAAAATAAGTTTTACTTATTTTTTAATAAGTAAAATCTGATAAGCTAAAATTCTTCTATTGCTGTTAAAAGTTCAGGCAAATAATTTACATTTTATGAAAAAATATACATTTCATAAATTTAAGCTAACTATTTTTTTACCTTATTTAAATCATTATAAGTTTAAATATATATTTTAATAAGTAACATCTGGGTACCTGAAATTCTTCTATTGCTTTTAAAGGGTCAGTACAACTAGTTAAAGATTCCCGCAAATAATTTTGACCAGGAATACCCAACTCTTCTAACCCATTTCCAGGCAATTTATGCATGGAAGACATTTTTAAATAATTTATAGCATCAAACTGAATTAAATAATTTATAATGATTCTAACATATATATCCGTAAAATTTAAAAGTGCCACTTTTTATATTGATTTCATATTGTTTACATCGCTAGAGATGTTGAAATGTCACTTGACACTTTTGACAACTGTCGGGTTATCAAGTAAACTTAGGTGGCAAGGCTGCCACCAACAACATGTTAATAATCTAAGATGGCAAAAGTTAACATGGATTTGTTCTGAAATAACTGAAAACGGCAGTTGGAGACTTATGGGACGTCTACTTTATAGCAAATGCTTTAGGAATGTTCATATTGTAATAGTCTTTGCTGGCCATTATTAACAACACAACCCAATTTACCTAAATATGTTTCCGCACATTAACGCACGATATATATCAATGAAATCTATAGTATTTTTGTTTTTTATTATATGCCATTTAATTTTTATCTTTCGCTCTTTCCATTCAAAGCTGTTCATCAATGCCATCTTTCTTAACGTCCTTATTCTCAACGCATTCCTGATGAATGCTGTCTTCCTAAGCGCTTTCTTCATCAACGCACTCTTATTCAAAGTACTCTTTATCAACACACTTTTTAATAAGGCACTTGCCTTTAATGCAATTGTCTCTAATGTACTCACCGCAATTGATGTTAATTTCTCTGCAGTAGCCATTGCTTCTTCTGGACTTGCGCGCTTCAAGTTTAATGCACCCATAAACGCCTCTTTTGACTGTTTAGCCTTTGCTTCTTTTTTACATAACAACTTCTCTTTTAGTTCTTCTTGTAGGGTTTCCTCCTCCTTTTTGCGTTGCCTAGTGAGGTAGAATGGTTTGGACTGCGATTGGTCATTTTGCGGGTTCTCTCTCAGCCCTTGCCTATTCTGCTGCCGCGTAACCATGCTTCTTGTCCTTCTTGTCGTCATGTTTGTTCGCTTCTACTTATATTCAACTGATCTTCAAAACTGATCAGTTTCCCTAGCAAATCCTATCTTACCTTCAACTACACCTTCAACTTTCTTAAAGATTGATCACTGGTCTTTAATTACTGCTTCACCACAATACAATTGATGTTCCTTTGTCTCTAACTCGGCACTAGCCTGGACCGTATCCTTTGGCAGCATAGATGTTGGGAGACCGTATCCACTTAACAAATGTTTAATGAACTAACTTCATTCAGTGCGTACTTTAGAAAGTTCACACTTCGTATTCTTCTAGTAATTTTACATTGTCACATGGCCTGTCCACTCAAGCGCTACACCAATAATTCAATTTCAAAACCACAATGCACGTTCACATTATCATTTAAAATTGGCACCTGCAACCTGTTCGCCTTAATTTTCAATTCCATCTAATCGCTCGCTCTGAATCTTAATCCCTCAGAATTTTGAATTTCCAGATACTCAATCATTTGATCAATTGTACTTCATCGACATTTTAATTAAAATCCCGTCTAGATCCAAACTCTAATCCAGATTCCGTTTAAATCCCGCTCAGATTCCTGGAATTCTGGTAACCTTACTTCTGATAACTGTAATAGTCTTCGCCATTCATGTTTATTTATTTATGATCTACGCTGATTATTAATAATAACACATTATTTACTCAATATATTTCACACGTGAAATAAACAATTAACGCACACAATATATAATCAAATTTCTACACGCCCTCTACACCATAGATAAACAAGTACTTTACATCATGCTTATTTATCTATGCTCTACACACTTTCGCGATTTGCACAAGCCGGCCATAGATACTATAAAATTGCGCAACCCGTGACTTGCACGGCCGCGTGTGGCAGCACATGACCCGTTTTTTGTATTACTTTTTAGCGAATACATAATTCAAATTATGAAGTTATCAACTTTTGAAACTATTTAAATTAGCCCTCTGAACTCTTTTAATTTTCTTCTGGTGCTGTGAATATATAAATTAATAAAAAACTTTCTTAGTTGACATTTTTGATATGCTTGCGCAAATACTTGAGCGTAAACTTGAGCCGTGGGCACCCTTGGGCACTGTGAAAATGCGCTTGGTTGCACATGTATACAGTAACGTCAATAGTTTAAATAAAAAATACATAAAATTAAAATTCAAGAAAACTTATTTTTATTTCTATTATAATACTATTGCATGAGTATTAGGTATAAATATCATTCCGTAGCATCAAATCATCGAAGTCGGCAAGGACAGACGCCTCTTTTAATTAGATATTCGCTCAAACATCTGTCATAATAAGGATTATTTATTACTTTGTATTCCATCGCTGCTTTATCTGACATGCAATAAGTTTTTCTTATATCCGAAGTCGGTCTTATTTCATGTAAGCCATTGAAAGTTATCTGAAACAAACGTGATAATTTAAAATAAAATAAAAACAATAATTTATTGAATTAAAATCACCGTTGGGCTAAATTTTGGATGCCATATTGGCAGCTTTTGGCAGCAAGGTTTAGGAAAGCATCCTAATAATTGACATATTTGGTTTTCTGGATCTCCGCTAGGACAACATTTACTGTGATTGTGCATAATTATACTTTATTTCTAAAACTATTTTACGTGTTCGATTTTTTTGTAATTTATTTTTAATTTTTTATGAACGCGTGGTTGAAATTTTGTTTTGTTTGATATGAGGATGACAGATGTTTCGGGTCATTGACGTTTTGATTTTTGCAGCATCTGAAATATAAATAATATAATATTATTACTAGTTGATAATAACATAATTTATTATTTCCATTGCAAAATGGCTTTTTAATTTAAATTCCGCGCTTTTATTTGACATTTTACCTACATTGTTGGCAGAGCTTCTGTAAATGTAGAGAACAGTCATTGATTAGTCAGTCAACAGATAAAAAGCAACATACCGAACTGAAATATGAGGTGTGGTTAATGCTCGAATTGTACAACAAATAAATCATAATCCCTATTTATTTTATCAAGTATTAAATAGTATTACATATAATTTCAATTAATTGCAATGACCGGACGATTACCAGCTTGTGTTATAGATGTGGGAACCGGGTACGAATTAATACCAAATTCGTTGTCAATATCATCATACTAAATTTTATACTAATAAATTACCAACTCAAAAGGTATACCAAACTTGGATTTGCTGCTAATAAGGAACCACAGTTTATAATTCCATCCGCAATTGCTATTAAAGAATCTGCTAGAGTTGGAGATCAATCTGCTCGCAGAGTTACTAAGGGAGTAGAAGACTTAGATTTTTTTATTGGAGATGAAGCTTTTGACGCTTCAGGATATTCCATTAAGGTATATTCAAAAATTATTTTATATTTTGAAATATATAGCCCACAGATTTCTTTCAAGAGGACTTAAAAATACAATTGTTTTACATTATGGATAACAATTAATATATATACAAAATTGGAATATATAGTAAAATTAATAATGCACTCAACACAAAATTATGTAATACAGAATGTAACAATATTATTTAAATAGAACGGCACCTCAAACTACAACACTAGACACAAAGATATTAAGGCCCGCACATATAAATTAACCAGCTCTTTCAATACGATCGACGGTTTAGGTATTCAGCTTATGAATAAACTTCCACTCAATATCCGAAACCTAGGCAACAAATAATTTCATGCTTCCCTAGTTAAACTTTTTAAAGAATTACCTTTTTATGACATTACTGAATTTTCTCAATTTGATTTCAATAACTATTTTCTTGCATAATCCTTATCCTTCATCTATGTAGTCTGACAATTTGATTGTCTGTACAACCATGTTTTTTAATTGCTATTTTATTAATTCTAAATTTTTAGGGTTTTAAAACAGTATAACTTTCAACCTTGTGCAAGAATTTTGAGCTTGACTGGTGGTCTAATAGACTTTAATATGATGGTCATCCAGATGAACATTGTATTTAATGTTTGAATGCTTTTCTTCAGCTCTTTTTTTCAGAAGCGAAATTTGAGCAGCTACTATGATTATTATAAAATTACTATTCTTTTAATATTAATTATGAATAAGCTCTACAAGAGCCTGAAATAATATTTATTATTATTGATTATGGCTTGCTTATGAATAAATAAATAAATAAATAAAATATTTGAAAAGAAATAAAAAGGTTAACTTGAGCAGATGGAGATTATTTGATTAGGTGAAGTGTTATGAATATCTATTTCATTATCAATTAAGTAAAATTTAGAGGACATGTGTAGAATAGGCGAATTTAAGAGAGAATTAGATTTAGGAGAAGGATAATTGAAAAATAATTGTGTATTTAAAAAAGCTAGCCTAGGAACATTAAAGGATAGTTGGTTAAGAATTACAGGACAGTCTATAGCATTATTGCAAAGTTTAAATAAGAACATAATAGTACAGATAAATCGAGGTGTGAAAGAGAAGGTATACCGAATTCTTTTGCCGTGTTGTGGTCAAAGCCACGTTCAGGGTAAATTTTGTGTGTTTTATAATAGATATTTTAGAAATTTACGCTGAACTTTCTCTATCGCATCGGAGTTGTTGATCTGATGAGAATACCAATAGATCGATACATATTCTAACTTGGAACGTACATTTGCATAGCACATTATTTGAATTGAATTCTTTACAACTTATCCATTAACCATTCCACAATGTAATATTTAAATTACGAATTTGGTATTATCTTGAGTTAACTTTTTACTTGAAATTTTAGTACCCTGTTCGGCATGGGCTGGTGGAAGATTGGGACTTGATGGAACGATTTTTTGAACAATGTATTTTCAAATATCTACGAGCTGAACCAGAAGATCATTATTTCTTATTGACTGAGCCACCTTTAAACACACCAGAAAATCGAGAATATACAGCAGAGATAATGTTTGAAACATTTAATGTTCCTGGTTTATATATAGCTGTACAAGCAGTTTTAGCATTAGCTGCTTCTTGGGCAAGTCGACCAGTTCATGAAAGGACATTAACTGGCATTGTGGTAGACAGTGGAGATGGAGTAACGCATGTCATTCCTGTGGTGAGTATTAAGCTTAATGTGTGAATTTTTATAATTTAATTGTTAGTATTTTCACAATTTCTGTTTGTTTTGATCTAGGCTGAAGGTTATGTTATAGGATCTTGCATCAAACATATTCCTATTGCTGGTAGAAATATAACTTCTTTTATACAAAGTTTGTTGAGAGAACGAGAAATTGGAATACCTCCAGAACAGTCATTAGAAACAGCAAAAGCAATTAAAGAAAAGTAGTACTACTATTCAGACATAATAATACCTTTAAGTACAGAGTTTATATCTGAAACAATCTTGTATATTTTTAGATATTCCTATATCTGTCCTGATATTGCAAAAGAATTTGCCAAATACGATGCAGAACCTTCCAAATGGATAAAGAAATACGATGGAATAAACTCTGTAACTAAAAATCCATTTTCAGTGGATGTAGGATATGAAAGATTTTTAGGTCTGAATTTTATACAATATATCCAACTCACCCAAATTTACCAATTTGAAATGCAAATTTAACTTTATAGGACCTGAGATCTTTTTCCATCCAGAATTTTCTAATCCTGATTTTACAACACCTTTATCTGAAATTGTTGACTATGTCATTCAACGCTGTCCCATTGATGTGAGAAGGCCTTTGTATTCAAATGTTGTGCTAAGCGGTGGGTCTACAATGTTTAGAGACTTTGGCAGACGACTTCAACGTGACATCAAAAGATCTGTAGATGCAAGATTGAAAGTGTCAGAAGACTTGAGCGATGGAAGAATAAAGGTAACATCCTTGTGTCAAGTTGCATGATATTTCTGATATGTGTAAATAATCTATTTAATGAACAATATTTAATTTTTCCTATTGTAAATTTTATTTATATATGATCTACCTGTCTGCATTTTATCCCATTCTATATATATATACCATCTATCTCTTTAACTGTTTATTTCTGTACCAACCTACATGTCTATTATCCACCTGTTTGCCTGTCCACAATCTACCAGTCTATCTGGCTATGTTTTCATTCTACCAGTTTATCAGTTGACCTTTTTTACTTCTTCACATGATTACCTCTTTACCTATCTATTAGTGGCCTACCAGTTATAACAGCCAAACTTCTTTTCTGTTTACTTTTCTTCTTTCTTACTTCTCTACATATTCACAAATATTTTTATTTGTATATGAATCAATAATAGTTATTTTTGAAGATCATATTTTTCCTACAAATGCCAATTTTTGCCATTTTTTTAAGCATCACCAAAACTGGCAGATTTCTTCACAAAAGTGAAATATTTTTTAAAAGCTGACATTTTTTTACACTCATTGCTCTAAATCTGCCAAATGGCTGGTCCTGGCTTTGCCAAAAACTACTCAGCCCCATCAAAAGGAATTGAATGTTTCTCTAATCATTCAAATAGTTTAATCTGTGCTCCCAAAATCGTGGACGAAAATAAATTTGTATCCGCCCATACACAGACACACACACACCTACATCAATTTTCCTAAAGTATGCCAAAATGTTCAGAAGGCTTTGAAGTGCAAAGATATGCAACAATGCGAATTTCAATATTTTGCACTTGTTATAACATATTCTACGAAAAGTTAAAAATTAAATATTCTCCATTATTTCAGCCAAAACCAATCGACGTGCAAGTTATTTCCTATCATATGCAAAGATATGCTGTTTGGTTTGGTGGGAGTATGTTAGCGTCCACTGTAAGTAACTAAATTATAATATCAATCTAATTATAATCTAGCGCTGTCAATAAATCAATTTTACATATTTGCAGCCTGAATTTTATCAAGTATGTCATACAAAGGCTGATTACGAGGAGTATGGTCCTGGAATATGCAGGCACAATCCAGTTTTTGGAACAATGACATAGTAGCTATTAGTGACAAAGTGAATAAGTAAAAAATCAAGTTTCAAAAGTCATAGTAACATTGTGCTTTATTATAAGGGGATTTTAAAAAAATTTGCAAGAAAAAACATTGAAGAATATGCTTATTTACATAATAGTTACTATTTTATATATACTTTGTTTTGATATACGTATAATAATTCTTTATAAATACATAAGATTTATAACATATTTTTATATTATAAAGTTATAATTTTATATTTTAATTTCAATTTTATTTACTTAAAATGTAAGCTGTTAAACACTGCCCTGATGATGAAAATATTAAACTACATGCATGTATATAAAAAAACAAACAATATCATTAAAAAATTGATCCAGTCTATAAAATGTAACTCATTAAATACAAACCTTATACAAATCCTGTCTAAAATATAAACATTTGGAATTTTAATTCATATTCAATTAATGAACTAAATTTGAATTTACCATTATTACTGATTTATGAAATATTCTAGTGTAGAGGCGTGAATTTTAGGTAATTTTTTTAATTATCACTAAAAAAGGCAAAAAATTTTTTGCCCTTTTTTTCTTTATAATTATTTATCAACATTACAAGAGTACAGAAAAAATTAAAACAAAAAAAAAGTTAATAATTTGACTTAAATTAAAAGTTGGCAAGTGACCATGTACACAATTGCTACCCTCCTAGTAATACAAAATGAAAAAACAAAGATAAGAAATCAGCCCTGTAGAACTCGAGAAATCGTATAATTTGAAAAAAAAAACCTTTCGTACACACATTCTTGAATAATCAAGCTTTGAAAATATGAAAAAAAACAAAAAAAAAAAGATTTTTTGGAATTTCTACACTAGAATACCCCCTTAACTAAAATCTAGTTGTTTTGCATTATAAATAGCTGAAATGCATTATTTATATATGTTTAAAATTTTTGTTGTTTGCTGACTCAAGGGAAGGAAGATCTATAATTATGAATACACACACACACACACACACATATATATATATATATATATATATATATATATATATATATATATATACGGCCAGTCCTATCCTGAACGCAATGCGTGCAAAAAAAAGAATGCGAGCGCAACGTCGAAAAGGGCCATTACACCCTGTAATGTGCAGGCATATAATTTCAAGAGCGGTTGAAACAGTAAAAAAAAAAAAGAGGAAAGGAGGCGCTGAGGACCCTTGGACCACTCCTGCATGTATATAATGAACTATTTATTTATACGTTTTGATACGATATGTGTGTCATCACTCAGCAATTTTTTAATATTCATAAGTATCTAAAATAATTTTTAAGAAGTTTAAACAGTAAGATTTAAAATATATTATAGATTAAAATAAATTAAACAAGTAAAAAATGAATACATACCACACCAGAAAAAACACTCACAAATAATTAAACTAACAATATTGAAAAATAAAACATACATATAATAAAGTAAAAAAAAATTGTTCTAAAATTGAACCAAAGAGTTAGGTATTGTAATTACAACGTATAGCGAGCCGAGCGCACCCGATAGAAGCCGAGGGTTCACGAAAAGTTGATGCAGGAGTAGGTTCCAAGGATAGTTAAACAGTGAGGACAACAATTAGAGAAAACTAGTGGTGTATGTAAATAGATTATTATAAATACTGTAACATTGTCTAATATTTATAAGAATTGTATAAACTGAATCACATAGTCTAAATTATTTATTTAAGGTATATGAATGAGCTTTAAAACTTTAGCCAGAATTAAAATTGAAATCTGAATTATTTTGAAATTTGAAAAAAAGAAAAAAGAAATTGAAATATTTTTTTTCCAAAAGCAATTGTTTCGTCAACACAAGCATAAAGTTTTTTGAATAATTGAAATCGGATGCTCATTTTTCTTGAAAACCGCCATTTTTGTACTTTTAGCTCTGTATCTTCGAAATTTGCCAAAAACTAATAACCACTTCCCACAATCATTACTAATTAATTGTTGTTTAGATCATTCAAATCGGATGCTCCGTTCTTTATCTTCGTAACGGCTGGACCTGCCTTTGCCAAAAACTAATCAGCACATCTCCCTATCAATAGGAATCGAATATTTTTTTAACCATTCAAATCGGTTGACAACGTGAATGAAACAAAGCGGACACACACAGCATCCATTTTTTTCTGACTGATTCTGATTTATGCCAAAATGTTCAGAAACCTTCGAAACGTGGAGAAATGCAAAAAATTTCATTTTGGATTTTCGGCCCATTACTCTTACTACCTTACGGGAAGTTAAAAATAATAATATTACGATAGGAATCATGTACCAAAAGAGCATAATTTCGTTTATTAAGGCAATGGGGGTTTATTTATATTAAAAAATTGCTGAATGATGATACACCAGTTCATTATATATTTGTTTTTTCTATTTCGACGATTGGCTGCAAGTTAACATTCAAGAATATGTCTCAATGTCGAACAAAAAAATTTAAGTCTTATATATATATATATATATATATATATATATATATATATATTCATAAATATAGATCATACTTCTGAGTTACTCAAATGTGGATTTGTTAGAAATTGCTTGAATCAACATAGTTGGAATAACTAATATACTCCAAATAACCATTTGTAGTTAATGATAACTAAATAAAACCGAATATAATATTTATATCATCATATGCAAATTGTATAAAAAGTTTAAATTATTTTCATAATATATTAATGATGTTCAAATATTAAAAATTTGAATTGATGAAAAAATGGTCTTTAGACCTGGTTCTACTAGTTAGCACTAGATTTGCTAATTTACAACATCAAAACAAAAGCTATACTTGATATCATTTCATATTTGTGCTAAAAATTGACTATAGATAAAATATTAAGACCAGTCACAATTCAAAGAGGCAGCAAATTTTTTTTTATAGTACATAATTGAAGCTTATTGCATAGAATTATTCTTTGAACATTTAGAACAATGGTCGAGAATATAATACACTAAAGTGCAATTTATGTTCACTCACATAACTTATATCACGCTCGACTTAGAAATCTCATCACAAAGCAACATCTGCATTATCATCATCCAAATTTTCTGCATCATCATCATCGTCGTCGTCGTCGTCTTCATCAACATCACCATCAGCATCATTTCTTGCTTCTGGGAAACGAAGATTAAGAAGCAAATCACGCATCGAGTCTAATAATGCAGCCAAACTTTGCCTAAGAGCAGCATTGTCGCCACCAGCTGCTTCTTCACCATTGGCTTCATTATCTGCCAAATCTGCCACATATAAAATTCACATTCACACAAACTTAAAGTAGTTATAAATAAAATTATAAAATGTATTTTACCTTCATTATTTATAGCAATATCCAATTGTCGATTAGCTAAATTATTGTTGGGCTGATTGGGGTTGAAATTTGGTACATTAAAATTTGGTAAAAGTGATTGGAAGAAATAGGACATTGTACTAACAGTTTCAGCAGAGGGATGAGTCGGTCTTGGCCTTCAATTAAAATAAATATGTTATATAATCATTCAAATAATTCATTTGCGCTTTAAAAAATTTACTACCATCTGGTTACCTAGAATACAAATTTATTGAGTCTAATGGTGGCAACGGATCAAAACTAAGCATTGGTCCTGGATTTATACCCTCTGCTATATTTGTTGGAACATCTTTAAAATCCGATAACACTACATGGCGTAATATATTTCTTGGTGTAGGAGATGGGTACCTTAAATAAATAAATAAATAAATAAATAAATAAATAAATAAATACACCTAAGTCTGTTTTTACACGGTAGATTGGTTCCAGAAGAAGCCGTGTAAAAAAAAAAAAACGTGTAAAAAAGACATTGATCTTATACAAAAATGGGTGATTTGTTCCTAATCTCTAAAACCTATTAAAATTAGTGAAAAACAAGAATTTTTAAGAACAAGAATTCATGTTTATTTTATTAAATCAAATATATAATGCTTATTTTCACAAGCATAGTAATTAATGATAAAAAAGATATGCACTCTAATCTTAAAAGTAATATAAATTATATATGGCAAGTTCGGGAACTAAAAAAGTATGTTGTGAACGAAAAGAATAGGTTATTCAATTTTTAAGATTTCCCTAAATTAGTGCTATTCACATTTGCTTTGACCAGTAAAAATTGTTTGTACGCGCTAAAGGGGAATTCACCTAAATCTTTAAGCTAGTGTTCGCAAACTATCGATACTATCGATGGTTTCAGACTTTTTTCCTTCATAAATACTTTTTTGTGATATGAACATACTTCGCACAATTAAATTTGATAAAAAAAATTTAAGTACATAAAATTTTAAATCGTGCTAAATGGAATAAATTCGTGTAAAAAAATTAAAAATATTCAATTTTCAAACCGTGTTATATCGAAACCGTGTACAAAAAGACCGTGTAAAAACAGACTTAGGTGTATATATATATATATATATATATATATATATGTATGTCAACAAACGAAATTCCTCTCATGTTTTACATGACAGTTACAAAGTCATAAATTTTATGAAAAGTAATTCTTTACAGTGTTAGAATCTTTCGTTCGTTATACCCCTTCTCTGTTTCTCATTCCACTTTTGTTTCTTACACCCCGCATTCACTCACTCTACCGCACGTGCCGCGTAACTTTGAATTCAGTTGTGTTACAATGCACAGCGATCGAACATCACACAATATAGGAAGGCAACATGTACTTCTTTAATTTTTCTTTTATTAATTATATCAGTTATGATTTTATTTTGCACAAGTTTAATGTTTAATCAATTTTATAATTTTTTTGTGTTTTTCCTGGTTTGGTATGTATATAATTTTCTCCTTTTTTATATTTTTACATTTACATTCAGCTATTGTTATTTATGTTTTTAAATTGCTGAATGTTGACACATATTAAGTGTCAAAACATTTTTTTTTCTATTTTAATCTTTTTTTTTAATTCGATGCTTGGGCTGCAAAAATACTTCAAATATAAATATATATATATATATATATATATATATATATATAATAAATAATAAATATATGTATATATATCATGCGCTGCTTTGTGTGGGCAGTGTTGGGAGTTCAAGCCCTGGATAACCTGATATTATATGCAGTGGTGATGTCAATTTTCACTAGAAAATCTAGATCAAAAATATGTTTCTAATTGAAAATAGCCTATAATAGAATAGCCAAAAATAAGATTTTTTTTTTTGAATAGTACTCAAATTTTTTTCCTGATATGAAAGTTTCAATTTAAAAAAAAAAGCATAATTGAAACTGTATGTAAAGACTTTCTGCAAAGAACATTCGTTGACTCGGCTAAAAGTTACATTGCATACATACAGCTAAAATTCACAAAAATCAAACATTACAAATTTTTTCACGATTTAAATTTTTTACCTATGTGCACGTTTTTCAGCACATTCTTCAACTACAGGCAACGCGTTGTCTACAATATTCAACACCTCTTGAACATTGCTTTCCAGCCACGGAAGTAATATTGGATCCTTCCACATGCAATGATTTCTGCTTACAAACAACTTGCATAGTTGATTCAGTGATGGGGATTGACTGAAAGAAGCAAAATAAAATTGAATTTAAAGAAAACTAGTTTCGAATAATGTTGAATTCTTATATTAATTACCTGGTTTGTGACTGAGAGCCAAAAAAATTATGGTTTTCAACCCTAGAATCAACTTTAACACCAATTTTATCTAATAAAGGTTTTAGAACACCAGGAAACATCAATAATGCCATCTGAAGCATTTCATTAGCCCTGCTTAAATCACCATCTAAAAATATACAGCTGCTTAAAAGCATTCTTACATGTTTACTATCATATGTTTGAAAATCAACATGATTTTTACCTCTATTTAAATAAAATAAGGCTTGAGCTACTGAGTAAGACATATTAGGCAGTAGGGTAAAATTTTTTTCATAATCCCATTGATCAAACAACTCTACAAGCCATGAATATTCACGAGCTCTAATGGCATAATAATCCATAATAAGAATCATTGCCAAAGGATCTGAATCAGGATCAAGAGCTACAAGCAAAATTAATCTATATAAATTTAGGCTACAAAAACATTTAATATTTCATCAATTTTATTATTATTGCCTAATATGAGCTTAGAAATTTCTAAAGCAGTTCTGGGACATGCTCTCCCTTCTAAGAATTGTGCATGTTTAAACAATGCAATAAATAAGGCACGATTTTCTTGTCTTTTGTAATCAAGTCTGCAAGTTCCTTGGGCTAAATTGAATAATGGATGAAAAGCCATTTCTAATCCATATAATGCCCTTTCTATCAATTCAGAAGCAACAGCTAAATCCTCACTCATTTTACCTGCAATACAACATACAAAAATATTAAAATAATAAATAATAATAGATTAACATGCAGATCATAGAAAATTATTTGTTATGAATATCTTAATATCTAAACTTACATAAATCAGACAATTGTAGTAGAGCATCAACATGATATGGCTGCTGGTTGATGATATTGACAATATTTTCAGGATTTAAACTTTCAACTGCTTCTAAGAATTTCTTTTGGGTTTGTTGATAACTTGGTCCATGAGTGAAACAAAAAGTATGTATCCCACCAGAGTTTTTAACTAAATCCATTCCTAAGCCAGATTTGCCTAATATGGAAAATTAATAATTGCATCATACTGAAATAAAAAAATTTTTTTTGTATAAATTGATTTACCCATTGCTGGAGGCCATGAATCTTTTGATGATACTATCCAAGTTGATTTCAATACCGGCCTACTTCCTCGTCCTCGACGTTTACTATAATATTAAATAATAATTCAATAATGGCTTTTATATTTGTATACTTGAATACTATATATAACTCATGTCATTGTGTTAGTGATTATACTCCTCCAAAATAGTGTGACTGATTTTTATGAAATTTTATATACACATTCATCAAGACTGAGAATTGGATAACATCTATTGTTCACACCCCTAAGTGACTTTCTTTTATTTAATTTTAATTAAAAATCACATATAGCCCTAAATTTTCACCATTCTACTACAAACCCTTGTTTCGGAATAACTATTTTAGTAAGCCAATCATTTTTCAACCTGCTTTTTGTCTATGAATGTTTTTCACTGAGTTTTATTTCAGCTTTTGGAAAAGCTTGCATTCAACATGAAAAAACTCTTTTATTAAGGGTTATCCACCAGTAACGCATTCTTTTTGACCCAATATTTTTCATTTTAATTTTTAAGTATTTTTTAATGTATATTTGCAAAATACATACAACCCTAAATTCACACTCCTACTAGTAACCCCTATTTTGAAATAGCCATGTTAGTAATTCAATAATTTTTCATACTAGTAGATAACTAATTAATTACAAAAAAAATCTCAGTTTTTTTCTATCAAGTCTTCCGAAAGTTTGGCAAAACTGAAATTTTTCTAAAAAAACAAATACTTTTGTGAAGAGTTGTCCATCTCTAAAATTTATATTTCGAATTTGAACCTTTTTTTATTTCATTTATTAATAATGCAGTGCTCAAAACACAGACAACTCTAACTTTTCACATTTTCACAAAGTAATTTTCTAGAAAAGTAATTTTCTAGAAATATTTTCCATGGTGAAAATTTGTTGGGCCAGCTGGTATATATATAATTTTAAGATATATGCTGCGATATATCCAATAATAAAACTTAGATCATAGCTAAGAACTATATTAGGTGCCAAGATCTATAACAAGCTAGTAGAACCCGATGGATGTAAGTGGGAAACTAAGAATACTTTTAAAAATCATTTGATAAATAATCCTCAATAATTTATAAATGAATTTTTAGAATAATAATAATTAATAATAATTTTATTTTCAATAAATGTCAGTTCTATAATTTTAAAGTATACCTTTGATCTGCTTGTATGACTCTCGAACCAAACATCCTTTTCATCTCTGTATTTGGATTTAAATGGCGATGTTGCACAATTAACAAAGTTTTAACAGGATTAAATTCAGTTACATGCGTTGAATCAACCGATTCTTTTGATTCCACTGCTCCGAATTCGTTATCAAACTCACCAACAATCTAAAGTCAGAAATATTGATTAGTATATGTTTTATTATTGTGAAGACAACAAAAAAGGAAAAATATTTGTATTGACCTCACAATTATCTTCACTGCTCCTATGGCATAAGTTTTTTCCACTTTTCTTCTTACGCTTCTTCTTCTTCCTTTTAACTTGTTCATTATTTTGGATACGACTTCCTGCAGCAGAAGCGTGCTCGGTTTCATTATCATCTTCCTTCACTTCACTTTCAGAATGAGACTCTTGACTTAACTTAATAGAATTGATAATATAAGTATATTTATTTTAAACATAAAATTTATGTTTTTGATTTGTGATCAATAAAATTATTGCTCCAAATTTGCATGGCTATTGAGTGTTGAAATTATAAATTATATAGAATGTATTTCTGAGATTGTTTCAGTATAATTATTAATTGAAGAAATCGATTGAATATTTAATTTGAATTTGTTATTTACTTTTAATATGTATATTATTGTGCAATAGCAGCTGTGCATATCCACATCTAAACACAAACATAAATGATGAATGACATGAAACGCACCAATTAATTTATTACGAAATATTTTATTAAGAGTACTTAAACATCGAATTAAATCTAAATCAATGCTTATTATTTACCAGATCATATCGATTGATATTTAATTGTTTTCGTCTAGCACCACCACTACTGTAAGGAACATCAAGATCAGGATCTGACACAATATCTTCTGGCAAATCTTTATCGCCTTGTAATTTACGCAAAACACGGGAAGACATTGCACACAATTATATTGAACAATCACATTCAAGATCAAAAGATTATTCCTGAAACATATTCAACATTTCTTACTTTATTTTTATTTGGGTGAACAGATGACACAAGCGGTATGAAGTAGGACACGTACTATGTATTTTTTTAGTGGTACCAACAAAAGCAGATGAACGCGGCGCAAATATATTTGGTGGCAATTTTAAATTTTTTATTTATCTATGGATGGCTCTTTTAATTTTTTTACCACAACTTTAAATTTTACCACCAATATGACATTCAATAAATTTGAATGGCTGAAACAAATGAATTTTTTTGTTTATAATTAACATAATAGTATTATTATTCACATCTCTGATATAAGAAATTATGAAAAAAAATTATACATACATATATGTAAATATCCATTTCATTCTATATTAAATTAATAAAATTATTTATCCCTGCATTCAGTCAGAAGTTCATTATATTTAGTAGCGCTCCATATACCATACTGTATGTAACAATTTTCTTTCATTCTGTTTTTTCTATTGCGTTCAATGTGAAAATTTTCTTATTGTTTTGCGTAATGTTCATTTGGGTCTATTACTGTACTCATTTTTGTTCTGTTATATTTAACTTTAAGTATGAATTTGCATTTTCCTATTTTTTAGTTATATTATTGAATGAATGATTATTTGTTTCATTATGTAAGTATTTGGTGGGTGTTAAATGTGGAAGATTACATGCTATTTTTCTAGCTTTATTAATTATTATTTCTACGTTAGCTTAGTTGTTTGAATCCATGTTGATATTCCATATATATGGGCTTTATATGAGCTTTAAGGATTAGTATCTTATTTTTTCCTTTCTTTCTTCTTTTTAAAGCTTCAGTTAATACCACTATCTTTTTATTTTTTTATTTATTTGTTCTGTCCATTTTAGCTTTTCATGTATTATTATGCCCAGGTTAAATTTGGGTGTAACTTGTAAGGATTCTTTTTAAAGCCCCCGTTAATACCACTCTCATTATTTTTATTTTATTTATATGCTCTGCCCATCTTAGGGTTTCATGTATTATTAGGCCCAGATTAAATCTAGTTTTAACTTGTAAGAATCAATATAAAATTAAAGAAAAAAAAACAATAAAATGAGTATACATGTATATACATTTTAAATAAATATTATTCATGATTTATAAATAATTCACAATTAATAAACAAATCAGTGTATATAAAAATTATTAAATATAACATATTCAAATTACTTTTTTATAAAAAGCATCTGACGATAAATAATATATGTATATAAGTAGTTTTTAGTATGTAACATGTGAAGAAATATTTAAAAGTAAGCAAAGTTTTAATAATAAATTTTAATTAATCTTGCGCAATTCATAATGCTGAATTTGTAGCATTAGTAATATTACATAATATTTCATTAATACACATTAATACATATTGCAATTAATTATTACATTGCACTATGCAAACTAATATTTTACAAATAAATCTCAATATATAACATAATATAATAAAATAAAATATTTTTGAGTATGTTCATAATAGAAATTATGATTTGGTGCTATATACAATTATGCCAATTAAAATGGCTAAAACAACAATCGCAATTAAAAGTAATATTAGCTTCTTCTTTCTTAGCTTTGTCTAAAAAAGAAAAAATTATATAGTTTTGTTTGGCATTTAGTTCAATATTTTATATGTTGTTTTAACTTACCTTATACTGGCTAGCTTGTCTCAACTGTTGCGTACCATTCTCCACAAAAACTTGAGTCCGTTCTACAGACGCCTCTATGCTATCTATTATATCACCTTGTTCATGTACCAAAGCTCCCAAATTTTTGAAAATCTCATTAACATCCCGTATGTCATGTTCCAATTGTCTTATATTTTCTTCTTGAGTTTGTAAAGCTTGCAAATCTATCTCTTCTTGAATTTGGGCCTGCATCTGCTGTTGACTATGGGTTGATTGGAATGGTAAGAGTTGGTCTTTATTAGAAGCTGGGGGTGGCTTAAAGTTATTTAGTTTAGCTGCAGCTCGAACTTCATTGACACAATTTCTTTCACGTTGAACAGCTTCTCTATGTGTAGCCTAACAATGATTAAAAGTTATAAACATAGTATTTTGATTTACAAATAATTTTTATTAAATTTTGTACCTGTAAAGAATTTAAAGCATTTGTAAACTCATCAGCCAAGCGATCTCTTTGAATTTTTAAGTGTCTCTGTTCAGGCCCAAAATTCGCTTTCTTTAATGTTGTAAATAATGTATTCGTGTCTTTGACCAATTGCTGAGTATAGCTTTGTATTTGATGCCTGAAAAATGAATAACATGAAAAACTAATTCGTAATTTTGATTGAGATTAACTTAAAGTATTACAATTGTTGTTGCAGATCTTGAGAGTCCTGTGATGTACCCAACTGGTTGACCATTCTTTTCATAGAAAGCACTGACAATAAAATGTTTAATATATAAAGAAATGTTATCATAGTTTTAAGTCAATATAAGCTTACCATTTTGAGATATTTTTTGAATATTTGATCCTATTGTATTCGATAATTTATCGTAGTCTGGTTCTTTAACAGAACCATTGTGAAACGACGAATATCCGTCCATTGCGAAATAGTATTACAGATTACTGAAAATTTTATATTATCCTTATTCTACTTCAAACCATGTCTAAAAAATTTATTGTTTAAAGCAACATTGATGTATCAAAGCTAGTATTAAAAATTAATTAAAAATGGCAAAACTTATTGGCAGATGACATACAGTTGACAGCTCAACCCACTTGTCATTCTTCAGAATAACCAACATTAATATAAAACAAACATTGCCATGTGCGACTTGAAGTGAGTGACATCAGGCAACCCATTAATGTCGAAAGACAATGATATCGAAATGTCACAAGCGATGTGCAAAATCATAATTTAGTTAACAAAAATGTCATATTTTTCTTAATGACTCTTAATTAATTAATTACATTTTACAATACCGATGCCAAAGTAGTTGACATACTAAATGCTGTGAATTAAAACCAAGTAACCTTAATCTGAATGTTAAAAGTGCATTTCTCGAGTGTTCTGATAACAATATTATTGTTCCTTATTAATGTTAATGGATCTTTTATGTAATAAGGATAGTAGTGAAGATTGCACATGTAAGTATTTTTAATTTTTGTTTAAATTAAAAATAAAATGATCATACGAGCCACGTAAGGAGTGACGTAATTTTATAACGTCAATAACTCATTATTAATATCATCAGATGAATAGATGAATGATGTGGTAGTGTTAAAATACCTGAAACGTAAAATCGTTGGGAATGACGCGTTTATTTTCTTTGTTAAACATATAATACTCAATTTTTTTAAAATTAATTTACTGAAAATCTTATTCATTTGTTTTTTTAAATTTAAATGTATTTATTTAAGCATGTACAAGTTACAAATCATATTTGCATTAATTTTATATCCTGCATGTTAATATCACGAAGGACTCGTATGTAAAATGTATGTACTTTGGTATGTTTTATTTCATATGATGAAATAAAAATATGTCATTAAATTAATTTAAATTTTTGGCGCAAAAATCTTACCGTTACTAATTTAGTTCCGGGTACGTTTTAAACCGGTTACCGGTTAATTAAATTAAATTAAAATTTAACTTCTTGTAGGGTAAGTTATAGTAATCGTCCAAAAATCGAAAATGAAAATTTTTGCATATCTTCACGTTTTAGAGGTTTCTGAACATTTTGGCAAACCTTAGAAAAAATGGATCTGTGTGTATGTGTGGATACAATTTTTTTTCGCGTTTTCGGTAGCACGGATCAACTGATTTGAATGATTCAAAAAGTGTACGATTCTTATTATTAGTTTTTGGCGAAAGTTGGTCCAGCCGTTTAGGAGATACGGAGCAAAGAGTGCAGAAAATGGCAATTAAGTTTATGAGAGAACGGTGCATCCGATTTGAACGATTCAAATAACATTCCATTTGTATTGATGTGATGTGATTTGTATTGATTAAGTTTTTTGCAAAGGCAGCTCCAGCGGTTTCGGAGTTTCAGAAAAAAGTTAAAAAAAATGCCAGTCGAAAATCAAATATTTTTGTAATTTGGATTAACAGATATGAATCAAAAACTTTGAAGAAATTTCAAAATTTTCAAAAAATAGAAAAATAATAAAATTTCAAAGTTTTCAAAAAATTCTACGTTTTCGGAAAATATCTCAGTATATTCAAAAAAGGTATTTTTTTTTCAATAATCAAATGTTTCACGTTGGGGTCACCAATGTGGAAATGTGTTAATTTGTAATTAATAATTTCCAACTTTATAAAAATGTATTACAAAATATTTGTTTACAAAAATATGTATTATGATATGTGATTCTACTTTTTTCGTGTGATTCTACAGTTTTCAAAAATGTTGAAAAAAATCGGATGCTTAGTTCTCTCAAAAACTGCCAAATAGCCTTGTATCTCTGAAATGGTTGGACCTGCATTTGCAAAATACTAATCACCAAATCTCCCCATCATTACGAATTGAATGTTTTTTGGATCATTCAAATCGGATACTCCGTTCTCTCAAAACCTCGATTTCTATTTTCTGCACTCTTTGCTCCTTATCTCCGTAACGGTTGTACCTACCTTTGCCAAAAACTAATCAGCACATCTCTCTATCAATAAGAATCGAATGTTTTTTGAACCATTCAAATCGGTTGATCTGTGCGCCCGAAAATGTGAACTAAAATTGTATCCATACATACACACACACACACACGCAACACAACACACACATCTAGTTTTTCAGAGGAATGCCAAAATGTTCAGAAATCTTCAAAACGTGAAGAAATGCAAAAAATTTAAATTTCGATGCCATTTGGTGGTCGAAAACCAAAACCATTTTGTAATTTAGATTAACCGATATGAATGGGTATCACAAACTTCGAAGAAATTTCAAAATTTAAGAAAAAAATAAAAAAACAATATTTTTTTTAAGTTTTCGAAAATATCAGTATTTTTAAAAAAGACATTTTTTCAATATTCAAATGTTTTCAAAAATGTTTAAAAAATTCAAAATTCACAAAAAACTTTTTCTGTTTCTGAGACCCATACATAGTAGTTCCAATTTCAATGTTCATAATGATTTGGGAAAAACAAACTCTTCATTCGAAAATTTAAAAATGCAACTTTTTATCTTTTATTTTGTCTATTTATCTAATTTTTATTAAAATTATCTTTTGCAATTTTTATATTAGGCCATTTCCGATAACGGTGTCGCTATGTATAATTAAATTAATTTCCATTTCTAATGTGTAAAACTATATAATTTGTTTAGCACATTTTAAATATGATAATTTTTGCAATTAGCAAACACTTGACATTCGCAATTAGAACTGGAATTCTTATTGTTTGTTTGTTTTAGTAAGTGGTCGAGCGAAATACTTGAAAAATGTAGGAATTGATAATAGTTGATTTATGGAATGTTTTCTTTCAATACAAAATATTTGTTGCAGAATTTAAATAATATTTGCTCAAAGATTAATTTAATTAGTGATATTAATAATAGGTGTGTTTGAAAATTACCCAGTTTTGGTTTATGTGTGGAATATCTATAAGTGGAACAGTTTGGTAGGAAAGAATATTTATTAACATTTGGTTATTGTATCTTAAGTGATAGTTTGTTTGTGTTTTCAATATTATTAACAATTTTTGTTTTAAAGTACCGACACGTTTGAATTTGTTTTTTTCTCGGTGATAATCGTATCTTCTCGCATCATTTTGTGAATGGTTCAACGTTTCCGAGAGGTCATGAGTGTATGACGAAGTCCACACATGCTGGACGACATCAGGAATCTTCAAAAATTTTATTAAGATTATTCTTAAATTTGTCTAAAATGAGCCGAAATATATACTATTTGAATATTTAATTTTTGAAGTAAAACTTCTTTAGGCGCGACTAGGGAGCAAATCTGTGAAAATGCAACGGAAGTTGCGTTACGCCCGAACTGTTCGTCATTCGCTCTCGATGAAATCCTTTCTATACGGGTCGATTGTGATTAGTCGTCGTGTCAAGTGAATAGAGATCTGTTCATATCACTGATTTATCATATTTGAACTGCCAATGAGTATTTGGCCTTGTAGAAGACCTGTGCACGTTTTGTTCCACATGACGCATTGTGATAATACGACGGCTTAGCGACAAAATCTTATCAGATTATTTTACTATAAATTCAAAAATAGCATTTTGAATCATCAATCACTTTCTTCTATATTTGCCTGATGTGGGTCCTGGTATTTCTATTTATTGACTAAATTATATTTGGCTAAAAAAGGAAAAAATTCTGCGAACATAAATAATATTCAAAAGCTTTTTTCCCTGTAATTTCATTATCCTATTAGACTAAGAGCTGATCTCCTTTGGGATGGTATTTCTAATGAGAATCACTTTCTTTTTTATTCGTCTGATTTGGCTTCTATGACTTTTATCTATTCACTAAATTAAATTTGGTTAAAGAAGGAAAACGTTCTATGAGCCCAAAAATAACCAAAAGCTTTTTTTAGTGTGATTTTATCATCCAATGAGAATGTGAGCAGTGAGAACTCCGTGGATTTATGAATTATTCTCCAATAAGAATCACTTTCTCCATTTGTTTGGCTCTTTGACTTCTATATATTTGGTTAATGGAGGAAAACGTTCAACGAGCATAAAAATAACCAAATGCCTTTTTTGACTTATTGTTTTGTGCGTACTGATTTGGATGATCTGATCATATCATATAGATCCTTGTGCAGGTTGACATTGGCAATATACCACAATTAACGTTTTAGATTTCTATCTTTGTGTTATTTTCATGTTTGGCTGGCGTACGTTAATAGTTCTTCTTAAATATTGTTACCGTATGTTTTTTTATATTAGGACCGTATTCAAAGTCACGACCTTCTAGCATTTGTACCAAGATTTTGAAGGATATTCCGGCCTATGACCTTAAACATAGCTTTGAAATTATGATTTTCTGCAACATTCTAGTCCATGGCCTTAAAAATTGTTGCAAAATATTTTTGGTTGTTAGAACTTGCTAGGATTTGTACCAATGTTTTTAAGGATGTCTCGGTTTTCAAATTTAAGCATTTTTTCGAAATATTTTTGATTGTTAGGGCTGATGCTGAACGCCAGAATCTTTTATGATTTGTACCCGCATTTTGAAGGATATCTGATCTGACCTTAAAAATCGTTTCGAAGGATTGCATCAACATTTTGAATGATATACCGGTCTATGATGTTTAAAATATTTTTAGTTCCTGCTCCAACGCCTTTTAGGAGTGGTATCGAGTTTTGATCGTAAAATTAGGAAAGATGAACAAGTTTTTTGTAGAGGAAACTTCCTGCTGTTGTTAATATAGCTCGGAATCTTTTATTAGTAGAGGCATTATGCAAATCATTCGGCGATTTGATATTTTATAATTTTTAATTAATTTATATATGACTTAGATAACTTTTTTAAAAATTATTATATAGTTGATGTAATATTGTGTCTCGTGTTTCGCAACGAGAAGTCTGTCCAATTCAATTTTCAAAGGTATAAATTTGTTTAGGGCAAATTAATTTTAGAACCGTTAAAGGTTGGGAAACACTGGTTTATTTTCGAATGTAGTATTTAGTTTTTCTTTTTCTATTTCACAATATCTTATCTCCCATTTTTTTTCATAGATGCACAATGAAGCTACAACGTGTAGTCTCGACTTTAGCCCGTACCAAAAACTG